GAGGACGATTGAAAATCAAACTGTGTGACATTTGTGACATTTGCCGCGACAATTTATAATTTTTCTCTTTGCAAATAGTTTAAAGTTTCTGAAATGAATAATGATCCTTGTAATTTCCACATGAACGACGAACGGAAAATCTGCATCTGTGTGAAATATTTTCTTGTGAAAGTGAAGAAATCGTAAACGTTTAAGGGAAATGCTTCCATCCTAGTGCAGCTTGGATGCTGTGCGACGTCGCGTCGTTTTATTATCGATTCTCCTGTCTGGCGCTCGTGCAAACCCTCTATTCTGCGTCTCCCCCTCTTTTGCCACGACCCCTCGCCCTCTACTCAGCCTTTGTACGGGTACGCGCAACCCCTTGCTGGTTTACGCGAAACACGGCGAGGGTACGTTCGTTCGAATGTGATATAAGTTTTTATTCAGTTGAACGAATATCAATATCCTATTACCAATTTCTTTCAGGTTTATACACCAAAAGTGAAATGGTCTGTCGTCGTACACGGATATTTTATGCATAGAAAACTTGAAGGTAGCAGCAATATTTAAAATTATATAAAATACTCGAAGTATAGTTGTAAATGACGTTCACAAAAATATGAATTTGTAATATCGTAAAGAAATCTTATTTTATTTCATTTTTTATCTTTTTTTTTTTAAGATTGCAGAAGAATTTGAATTGCCTTCAAAGTTAAATTGATTCGAAAGTGAAACATTTATAGAAATCATAAACTATGACCTTTTTTAAACTATTAACGAACCCGAGAAAAAAAGTAGTAGCAGCTAGATACTCGCCAGATTTAGACGCAACCCGGTTCTGTTATTTTTATATTTGTATTCGCGTAATCGCGTGATACGTTTTGCATATATAAAAGCGAAATAAGTTTTTCTCTTGCACGCAAATATGCTTGTTAACAGTCTGAAATCTCACCTTGTGGCGTGATAATTATGAGTGCTTAAAGGTTATCCACTTTTTGAGCACGTTGTATAATGATATGCATATGTCTATTTCATGGTAAGGAACTCGGCAATCACAGATTCACTCTTACTCCTTGTTACTCTCGAGACGTGACATCATCAATTATCATATGCAAAGTTAGGTCACCCAACGTCATTTTAGAACATCAACGATGAGAATTAAACGTTAATGATTACACGGAAGTAAAACATTCGCCATGTGACACACCACACAAGGAATAATTGGCAATTTGTTATTACGAATAAAATTTATTGCTTACAAAAAAATAATTAATGCACGCTAATTGGAAAACATTTATTAAATAAATTATTCTATATATGTGGAAGAAAAATAAACTTGTTGTAGAAAATTTTGAACTAAATGTAGGACAAATATAAAACTCATTTCTTAATGACTTGTCAATATAAATTTACGTTGCTCATTCCAATCGCATCATATTCATGAGTCACAGACTATGTAACCTTGTTTTGATACTCACACTAATCAAGGAAAACGGGCGTTTCATACATTTCGAGCCGACAACAGGGCTAAGCACGTCTAATCGAACGACAATTTTGAAAGAAACGCGGCGTCTCTTCTCGTCGATTCTTATTTTTTTTTCCTCTCTCCATTGCCATAAGACTTCGGTACACGTCAAACCGAATGTTTATCCGCAACTGGTTTATCAGTGTTGCGCGACAGAATCGATTGCGTCGCGCGATACAATTTTAAAGCTGACGTAATCACTGGTATGCCAGGATCGAGGCGTTATGTGGTTGTTGCACAGCATAGGTAGAAAACGACATGTCAGGTGTACGAGTGTACGCGCGTGTCTTATGTATCTTTGAACTCACGCCCGATTCCTATACGGGTTTTAATCGTTTCGAGGACGCGTTTTGCGGCTCGCGGCGCGGCCTTTAACGGAAAAGCGGAACAAATCGGTGAAGGGGCGCCATGCCGAATGCGCCTCGAACACGACAAATTGCTACCAAACACGTCGTCCGCGGTTACGTTTAAGGGAATCCTGTGCCTCACTAGCATCGCCCGGTTTATGTAGATTAAGTGCGTTGCACGATCCAGCGATTTAGACGCGGTACGGTTACGCGATCGACGCGACCGCCGGTGACAAGTGTTACGAGATGTTTGCTCGAACGCAACATCCTGTGACCAAAAACGCGGCACGCTCGGTTCATTCACTGTGCCGAGTGTCGCCGAACTCGTTCCTCTTGCGTAATAATTAATATTAATAACTCGTCGCCAACGATCAATTGCACGACACAGATTTCTGTTGAAATTTGAAGTTCGGTTTTTTTCAGGAATCGCGCAGAACACTGATCCGATCAGCGTTACACGAAACGCCGCTACTTATTCGAGTTGCCATTTTGCGATGTTAATCGGCGTGTTGCAAACCTAATACACGTCAATTCGATATACCGCTTTTTACCACGCTGTCGTGCGTTTTCTTTTTAGAAATTTCTGCAGGCGGCTGACTCTTTTCTTGTTTTTTTTTTTAATGTAACCATCGAAGAGTTTAGTGACACGGGGGGGAGAAAAGATGTAACGGAGGCCGCAGCGCAGCGTATCGCAAATTATTACATAATCGCGAATTGGCGTAACCAGCTGTTTCCAAGAATAGACACGATTCTAAAGTTACAATTTCAAATTTCGCCAAAAACGTCGGAACTTCTGCGCAACGTCGCGAAAACTCGTTAGAAATTTTATCAATAACCGTAGAAAGTAAAACGTGCTTTGTACGCCGTGCGCGACTCTTTTAACGAGTATCGCGTCGTGTTCGACAGATAATCGTCCAACTGTGGCCGACTTCCGGTGCGTCCTAATGCTTGTTAGCGTCTAAGGGCAAGGTAACAAAGGGACTGACAAATTTAATATTGCAACTCGAATCATCAGAGCGTGGCTCATTAGAGGTCGCCTCGGCGTGCCTTTAGCTTATACGACCCTCCATAGGAAGGAAGCCCCTCCAAAGCTTTGGAAGTGGGCAGATAATCACGGATGCTGTGTAGGTGCGTCTTGAACGAGACGGGGTCGAGGGCTTCTCCCATTTTTCCGAGTATTCATCGCCGGTAGACTCAAAGAACTTTGCCGGTCGGTGAACCCTACTCTCAATGGATCGTCCATTGACTTTCAATAAATCGAAACGATAGGTCACGGAGAAGTTGCCCTCGTTAAATTAGTTAAATAGCGGTTAATAATAAGTGCACAAACGCGATGAAAAACCTGTAACGAAGAGGTTTGCAGGTGCTTGCGTTTCAGCGCCGAGAGTTTGGTCAATATTTCGTGCGAGATACGTACGTACGCTACGAGTTAGAGCCCCGATACTTTCATCGGTATCTCGTTGAGTTTTGCAACTCGATATGCCTGCGCCTACGGCTCGTCAAGCCCGGGATTGCAAATAACCAGGGTAGAATTGATTTTTTTCATTGGCCTTCGCAAAGCTTTCCCTCTTTGTACACGTTTCTAAAATACTTTGAAGACCACGACCTTTGGAAACCGTGGTTTCTGTGTCGAAAACATCGCGTAGAGAAGAGGTTTCCAATTGGTAATTTCACGGTTTCAAAGGGAGAATCTCAAACGGAGTCGATCGGAATGCGCATACATACATGTAGAAAAAAATTAATCTTTTAGAAAAAAATATAGAAATTATGACTTTTATTGGAATATGAACATTTAAATAAATTATTTATATATAAAGTACCACTGAATCTTTTTTTTTTTTTAATAAAGTAAATTTATTACTAATGTCCTAAAATAAAAAATCATTTAATTTTTTTTATTTGAAATATTTGGGAAACTTCTACAACTTAGAAACAAGTGAGATGCTGGTGTATCATGGAAAGGATCTGTAAAGTAAAAATGATTGGGAACTATTGGCACAATGAGTCAAACATCAGGAGTGAAAAAGTTAAAAAGGTTTATTAAAATTAACACTTTCTTACTAACGCTTGTCAAAGATGAGCAAAAGATTAATATTTCATCGATCGTATTTGATTTTACAGCAGATTTCTATAAATTATAATTCCGCATGCGTGTTTCGAGGGAACAGGTTTGAATTTGTGTCTGTGCATATGCACAAAAAAAATTCTATTTTTCAAGGAAAACATTTTTTTTTATACAGTATTTATTGCAAACTTGATATTACTGTTTCTATATGAAATCGAAGCTCCTCATAATGGATGAAATTTCAGTTGTTATTTAACGACTTGTCGGTCGAGGTTAATGAAGTGTAAACTCGGCTGTTTGTTCGCGCAGTTAGATCTACTTGAGGATTTAAAAATTGTCTGTACAAGAACTATGTTTATATTGTCATCCGATTAGAACGATTAAGTCTGCAGACAACTATTGTTGCAAATATAAGAAAGTATTTGATTTATTTGTTTCTGAATATACAATATACAGAGTGAACCATAAGTAACAGTACAATCGGAATGATAAATGTATCGAATGATACGTAGTATCTTTTTGTACATACAATTTTGAAGGTAGAACTACACATGCCTTAAACATTACTGTTTATCAAAACGATTTGCCAAAAGAATAATAAAATTTTATTACAACTTTTTACAACTTGAGCAACATATATTTGGTAAACGCGTTAAGCACGTTAACTGGAAAAGAAGATATAGGCAATATTGTTGCATAAACATTCCGGGTGAACACGATGCAAATCGTTCTAATAATCACGATGCACGGCAGAACGTAAAGCGGGACATGGGTAACGAGGAGGACCTTGGCCCCCTACTCACGTATAACGATAAGTATTCGCGTAACGATAGATACTCGCATATTAGTATTAGTCATGCGCATAAAATTTAACAAACCATTCATTTTGCTTTGGCCGTTTGTGGAGAAAATGTACGCATCCGTATTGTTCGTACAAGGCTGCTTGCCAATAACGTAAAAATTGTTTTCAAACGTTTGCAATCATTTTAAGTGACGAGTTCTTTCTTTCTGAAAGTCTAATTTGCATCGTACGGTTTCATCGTGAATTTCGTTTCTGTGTGTTATTGGATATTACAAGCAACTGTAACGTTGAAAATATTCTTAAACTAGTGATCGATATCTGTTGGAAATATAGTGACAAATATAAAAAGTGTTAATACTGTGCATACAGCCATTTGAAGTAACGAGTCAAGTGATAATCACAGGACCCTCTTCATATTGGAAGTTCTGCGGAAGCGAGGAACAAATTGCGGATGCCAATTCGACCAAAGTGTTGCTCCATTTGAGGACCAACAGAGGGTCATTCGATTAAGGTTCCAAGTTGATCATCGAAGGTGAGCCCTCGGTCAATTCTCCGATTATACACCCATGGAACATCGTTATTTCATTGACGCTCGCCAATTTCCTAATTGACACACGATACGGATCTTTCTCCTGGTCCAATTTTTCCATCGTCTACGACGATTAAACGGTGATTAAATTGGCAATTTGCAATTGTCAACAGAGTTACAGCATACAACATCACAAATTGAATGGCGAGCTAAATTGTGACGTGACATTTGCGTGATGTACACTCGTTTGAAAATATTCGTATATCAGAGGACTTATTATAAAGACTTACATTATAAAAGAACCTTACAATAACAAACCCCTTATTTTTTTATCATTTTGAATCTAACGAGGAGATTTATTTCGATGTCCGACTTCAACCTCACGTACAATTTTTGAAAAACAGCTTTATCCCGAGTCAATGCAGTTTATACCAGACAGATTTCTCCTTGCTTTCTATTTCCTGTTAAAGTGTAACGATTTCGCACAGTCGTCGCACAACGTACAACAATGGTAGGCCACGACTATCTTGATTCACATAAATCGAGTACAAGATGCGGGATTAATTATGCACGGGTGCCTGACAACACGCTGCATTAAGTTAATCAGCATCTAAAAGACTTCCCAAGTCTTACGATTCAATATTATGTGCTGGGCTTTTCTCATCGCTTTGAGTCTAATGCCCCCGAACACCAAGGCCATTGTACAGTCTTCAACGTGAACATGTGCATGTCGGAGCGTCTCTTAATTCTACGATCATTATTACAGATACGACTGATGGAAACGGCAGAAGCCATTTTATAGGTACAACTGGAAAAACAGCGATGCTTCTTTTTCAATGAAACGAAACGTAAAATTCTATTAGACTGAAGGAAAGATGATCTTGAAAATTTCTTTCTTAAAACACAAACGTGATTTAAGATAAAAGAAAAGTATTTTTGCTAGTTCTTTTTAATAGCTTACCCACCTTTTTTTTTCTTTATTGTACTATTATGTCTGCTATTAAAATTCCCTTCTGAATATTTAACAAAAGACAAAATAATTTTTATTAATCCATGCATTTGCATTAACCACAACCGTGTGTGTATATATATATATATATATATATATATATATATATATATATATATACACACTTTTTTTTTATATTATCGATTTTATCAACAAGTGTTTATTATCTTTTCACCAACAGATACGTTATATTATCATTGCGTCTGCATTTATCGAAACCCCAATCTACATTTTCATTTCAGAAACGCCTTAGAACGTTCTTTGCACCTGGGTACACTGCCATAATTAACCGAGAACGTTCGCAGCACCTCGCCACGATCGATTAATCCGGTAAATTAAATATATAACACATCAATAACAATCGTGTATCATTTTTCTAACAAATAGAATCGTGAAATCAGTATATTTGATACAGCTCTTTCCCCTTTATCCCTCAAATCCCTTGAAACAATCTATAAACTCACACCCTTCGCCCAGTAGAAAACAAATATCCCTCCGCGAATAAATAAACGGCGGTCCTAAAGGGTGAATTACTCTCCCGCGTGAATTTTTCGCGTAGTAGTAACAATAAATAAAAAAAAAAAAGCGCGCGAGACGAGGGAAATGATAGAGTTTTAGAGAAAACCGTGTGATTTTCTGACAGCAAGTATATTCACCAAGATGGCGAGAGTGGTGCTCTACCAATGGGCTTCGTCGTGACTCTGGCATTCGAGGTTGCTCGGGGGAAGTAAGGCTGCACGGAGAATCGCGCGCGTTAATGTACCACCAACCTGTTCGCCGTGTGACGTCGTTATTTTGCTGCAGTTTGCCGGCTGTGGTCTCGTTGCTGTTCGAATTCACTTGTACATCCGTCATCTTCTCGGTCGGCGACACCGGGGGCCGTTTTCTCGTTTCGGTGTTGTGTTTCGGGCGAAGGATCGTGTCAGGTACTCGCCAAGCCAGTCCGCGCACTGCTCGTCACGCTGTTCGTACGCGCGTCGCGGCGGGAATCGCTGGGAATACAAAGAGAAAGAGACGATGGCCCGATGATTTCAGTGGAAACACGATCGGCAAAGTTGAAGGCGAAACGCGCGACACTTGCGACGCGTTTGAACTGACTGGCTCGACCGCCGGCTTTCCGGGATCACCCGAAGGCCCCACGCCTCGACATCGGAAATCGCCGAGCGTTTACGAACCTTTTGCCATTCGTGCGATTCTCAGGTGGCCCGGCGCGGTGTCGCGGCCAGACTGCGAGTGCAGTTCAAGCATCGCGCATTCACCCTTCCGGCGGATGGACCGCCACCCCTCGTTCCTTCGTCGATCCAGCTGAAAAAAATCACCGATTCAATTTTTCCAAGGTTGTCGCGTAGTTAAAAATATAATATATCTTATATACCGAAACTAGAGTTCCCTCATTCTGAGTGAAATTTGAATTTGTCTCTGATCAAAATTACGATGGCTTAGCAACGAAGAAGCAAGTGGCATTGTACAATTATCCATGGAGAAATTATTGCAAGTACTTTGAAATGAAAGAGTTAAATTCTCAGAGGTCGGCTGTGGCTGCAGAAATATATTTGAGAAAAAGAAAGAATGCAATTACACCGATACTGAGCGAAATGATTGACGATAATCTTCTCGTTGATCGATTTCATCCTTCTGGCAATCGAGTGATCAAATCAATCTGATAGTACGTATAATTTATACAGAAACACAGACGTTTTGGATTTGTACAAAATATGTTTTTATAATTTTATTTACATTATAATTATATCATCCGAACATGTGAAAATATAAGACGGACGTACAAATCGGCAATTTCTCTCTCTTTTTTTCTCCTTAAGATTTCCCTGGAAGACTGTCAACAATGAGAAACTTTTGGCACTCCTCGCTACGAAGGGGTACAATTTATTGAAAACGATAAATGGTCAAGTAACACCGATTTCTTTTCATTCGATTTCGTACATCGTTAACATAGTATATATTAGTATATTATACATCGTTCTTATTTATTGTAAGTACATATTATCTCAACGATACAGTTCATCGAGTCAAACAGATGTGATTTTAGCGCGTTCTTTGATTATTGCAGCATTTCACGTTAGTTTTCAACGTCTCGTTTATTAATTCCCAACCAAACACGACGACGACGAATGTTGATTCAAATCGTCTCTTGTCGTTCTGTGCAAAAATATGAGAAGCGTGGCGCTCGAACGCATCGGAAGATTTTTTTTTTTAACAGAGGATGAATAGGATGATGAAGAATGAACATGTCCCTCGGTGACGTGGAGTTTGCCGATGAATGGATACTGATGTTATGGTTGCCGCGTTGCCACTTCATTCTGCTCTCTCGCACAATCTACGAAGGAACGCTAGAAACAAAACGATCGATATTAACATTTTATTCTAAACAACTTCACACGCCGACTATGCCAATTGAATTTGAATACACATATAATAAGCAATGCTAAATACATGGTAAGCATTAAAATAATTTGATGCGCAAAAGTATAATCGCACTGTGAATTTCGCGTGAATTCTTTCAAGCTGGAAAAGTCCTGTGGGTGAAATTCCCCGGATATATTGCAGCGGTTTATATATGTATATATGTATATATATATATATATACATTCGTGAATTTCGTCGTACGAATTAATATTAATAGAAAGCCCCTGTAACTTAAATTAAATTAGAAACGAACTCTGTCATCGATAGAAGTAGCGTAGATAATAATTAATAACGTAGTTAATATCGTCACGCGTAATTGAAATAGCGCTTTCTTTTCATTCGTAGAAATCCGTGACACACGAATAATAAATTATCAATTCTTTTTAAATACGTTTAGGTCGTTTGAATATTTCTGCTTTATTAAATTAGAAATCCAGTTTCTTCCGTGCGTGTCTGACATTAAATTAGAAACATAAGATGGCGCCAGATACGTATTGCGATAAATTGCAGGACGATAGTGGAACAGTTTGTAACCGTGTTCTCGAAACTGGCTAGAACGTTAGAAAACAATTAAGGTTGAGGATCGTTTTTTCTTTTTCTTTTTGAAATCCACGCCAACGACACTCTTGAGTCACGGACCTCGTACGTGAATGCATCTTAAGCCTTTGTACGTGTTGCTGTACAAGAAGCAGGTTATCGATTTCAGCATCCCTGCCACGTAGATTCGTTGCGTCCTATAAAATGTGACATGTGCGTAGTCAGCGAGAAGACGGGAAATCGTGTTAATTTGTGAGTGAGGAGGCAGAAAGAAGAAAGAGAAGAACGAAAGGAGAGAAAAGATAAAGAAAGCCCACGAAGTTACGCTACAGGGTGTACTTACGAAGGGCGATCTTTGCGATAGTGACGGTCCGGCTTTCTTACAATAACACCATCATCTTCTTCAAGAACGCTGTAGAACACAAAATATGTGGAAATGTTAGCCGCTAGGAGAGAAAGGAAACGGGAGGCCCGAACGATCGATCGATTCCTCTGACTTCCTGGCCATTTCGGGCAGCTGTACAAGATATAATCTACGGGATGTAATCTAACTCTACTGAACACTGTACGTTAGGGAAAAAAGACAAAGGGGGATGTGGGGCAATCTTCTGTTTAGATTTGTCTACTGTAAGATGTGTAAGATCAACGTCTACTGGTAAAACGGATTGTCAAATAAACGCATGTTTCATTGCGCTCGCTCTTAAATGCTCCTCTTTAATCTAGCGATGCTCTACATTAATGTGACTCGCTGATGCAGCTCGTGTAACACGCTCCGTTTCATCCTCTATTGCGCGAGATGCATGTGTTTCTTTTCTTCGCAGTGGATCGATACTTACGGGCATAAGGGATGAAACCGTCCTCGTCTTCTGGGTCCAGACAGTCTTTCAGCACCTCTTCCACTTCCGCGTCATTTAATTTTTCACCTGGAAGATTAGAAAAAAATATGTGGGAAGAAATTTTGACCGTAAAGTTAGTAATTTAAAGTTATCTTGTATTCTGAGCGGTAAAAACACTGTGAAAGTAAATTTTTGCTCCTCGGTGTCGTTAGAAATGTACGATATAAGTTTCAAATTGTCTGCAAACGTTAACAAGTAACAAATGGTAATAAATAGTAATTAAAATGATGATAAAACGTAGAATAATTATAATACCAAGTGCAAGCAGTATGTGTGAAAGTTCAGCACCAAGCATCGTTCCATTTTCCTGTTTATCGTACAGTTTCAAACATTCGATGAAATCCTCGTAACATCCCTGTTCCTTGTCCTTTTTGCATTGGCTGTAGATCGGCAAGAATTCGTCGAGTTTCATCGTCTTCTCGCCCTTCTTTTTCGTTCCTCCAAGTTTCTCTATGGTGGCGTTTGTAGGATTCAAATTGAGTGCCCGAAGAACATTGCCAAGGTCGGCATAATCAACGACCATCGTGCCATCGGCGTCATAAATGGAGAAGGCGAATTCCGCCTCTGTTTAAGAAAAAAAAAAAAAAAAAGGAAACAGAGAGAATAGAGAATTTTTTGATATCTGAGAGTTTATTAGCAGGTTTATTTAAAAGCAGCAAATTATTGACAAGAGGTGAGCGTAAGTTTGTAAAGTGTCGACGTCGATTTTAAATTACGAACCATAATATACCCAGGTGAAATCTGGGTTAATATCAGTTGAAGCGTGGCTCTTCGTGCGTACTTGGTTCAAAAATATTGTTCTATTTTGAGACTGAGCGGCCCCCACCTAGCAACCGATTCAAGAACTTACCGGTGTAAGAGTAGTGGGTCAGATTACCCCCGCCAAGCCATATAAGAACACGGCACCAACTATTTTTGAAATAGCGCTTCCCGCTCGGGGTGATTACACCTCTGTCTTACCGAATACTAACGATTGCGTAATGTTTTTCACGCGAGTGAAAACCGTTTTACTATTTTGCACTTGGAGAATGCCAGGCATAATTCGAGCGAACTTTTAAACTTGTTTGGGAAATCGATTATCGCGTAGCTTGTTTAACATCGGACGTTCTTGAATCTACGATAGTATTTTATATCATGTTATATTAATTAATGTTAGTTTAAAATAATATATAGTATTAATAATATTAATTTATTTTATATTAATTATAATATTAGTAATATTTTATATATTAAATACAGTTAAATAATATTTTATATACTATTGCAAGACTGCGTCGTAAACACGATTATTTCTCGCGGAGAATTTCCTTCACTTTTACCTGCTTGTAGTATATACACTCGATAATTCACAATTAGTTTCAAACTTGTTGTAACTTTATAGCTGATTCTTTGCCATTCTTTAAAATACTGTCTATTTCCATTGCACAGATACGATCGAACACGTACATACGCACAAATCAAATACTTTCTAATACGTTTTACTCACTTTCGACTTCCCTTGCGCTGAGGTCTGCCTGTAATGCAGAAGGAATACCATTGAATGTCAGCGTGTTATGCCGTTAAATTTGTTCATTGTCGCGTTGATTGACGAAAATTACGCGATAGAAAATACGATAGAAACGAAACATTTTTTTCGAAATAAATCTAACGATTTAAAATGCAGCAGCAGTAGTAGCAAAATCGGAAGGTGTATCAAATTGTTTGAAATTGCGTTGAAAACAGAAAGAATTCATTAACCGAACGACGGAATTGCGGAGAAATTTTTTGTTGCAAGCTAAGGAGAGAAAATCAAGAGCTCACCATTGTGTAGCCTGTCTGGTACTGCTAGATGTTAATCGAACGGAGTCTGAACCAGAAGTGGTATCGGCTGTTTAAATTTATTCATTTTATTTCTGTAGATGGCGCAGTGATCAGGACACACGAGAATCGTAAGGAGGTCCAACGAGCGAAAAGCTCGGCTCGGACGAAGAGGGTATCGGCAACGCCGCGATCCAAAAACAGTTCGAGAGGGAACGCGGGTTAAAAGCTGTGCTTCCTTCTACGATAAATGGTTTTCGGTGATACCGTTTGTGTGTCAGAATTGCCGGATCGCAGGTTGCAAACGGAAATACACACCGAACGGCCTTCAACCTCATCGCGCCCCTTAATAAACGCCGATTTATCGCGTTTTCACGCCGATCGTTCGGTAAAATATCAAAAATACTCTGGTGTGTTTACCAAAAAAAGTCACTGTATTATATAAAAATTTTTTAACATACATCATTTCCTCCACGGTGTCCTAGGAACGCGTGGAATTTATTTCACGTAACTTCGTGTAAGAGTACATAGACCACGCTGTACGCGCGGCCAGCTGATGACTAAACTTGGCAGTTATTTTTATCAGCTCGAGACGCAGACAGCGAGCGCGATTTTCCCTCTAGAAAGAAGTAAGTTCACTCAACGTTTACGCTTAAACGTTGCGTTATAATCCGATCGTTCCGTAACGCCGTCGAGGAAAGAACTTGAACGATGAACTGATGTTGAAATCATTTCTTCCGACGGCCGAACATAGTTCGTAATAATTTCCGCGTTCTACTTAGAATACCCTTTCTCTTTAGCAGTTCCGACTGCGTTTCGCTGTGGATCATCTTCTTCGATCTACCGGATGTTACGGGCATCGGCGAGGATGTAACCTCTTCGATCGTTACCTCCTCCAACGAGACACTTTTCACGAAAGGCGTTGAAGACGTGATTTCTTCGTACGCGAAGTTACACACGCTGTTCCGGACGTCGTTCTCGTTCGCGAGATCCATGCCACTTTGATCAGGATCGTCGACACTTTCGATGGTTCTTATGAATCGTTCCTCCGTTTCCTCCCAAATCTCGATCTTTTCTTTGCTGACAGCCTCCGTCTTCTGCTCGGATTCTTCTTCCACTTTCGTTTCGAGTTCCTCGATCATTCGATGGAGCAGACTGGTAGATACTCTAGTCGCTTCGTTCGAATCATCGAGTTCCTTCCCCTCGGCGATAGGTATTGGCTCAGTCGTGGTTTCGATAACTGCATCGTGGACTATTTGATGCACATCGCCTTCACCCTGAGTTCGGTGCGTTTCTATAAAATCGGCCGTGGCTTCGCGTGAAACACCGTCGATGCTACGCACCACGTGCTTGACCTATTTGACGAATTATATTAAGAAAAATGACTCAGGGAACAAATATTCTCTCCTTTCTTTTTCTTGTTGTGAAGATTTTTTTTTTTTCTTTTTTTTTGCACGTTTGACTAGTAACTAGATGCTATTTATAGTCACCTGTTTCTCTAACTTGGACAGGTGATATGGCACGGAAGTCGAATCTCCAATTTGCAGATTACGTAAACCGAGCACCATCTTTTCTATTGCTTCCGTGGTTTCTGACCCGTTGCAATCTCTGCTCAAACAATTTTGTATTTGCTGTACCGTTCGCGTGCTCTGCGATTGGATACCACGTTCTTCTTCATCATCCAGCGTTTGTAATTTCTCTGGCAACATTATTCCCATTTTCAATTTATCATTAATTGATTTGCAATAAATTCAATTTATTTATTCGATTTTCGATAAAATAATTATTATTAATTTTCAATTCATTATTGTCAATTATCGAATAATACTCGAGTTAAATACATATCATGATAAAAGATCATGATTACTGACGTAATGTAATAATAATTTTGCAAATTGATAGAAAACATCATACGCGTGGCAGATAAAAGAAGATTTATGTAATCAAACAGTGCATAACCGCTCACCGTCATTTGTATCAATCGCGTCGAAAGCTTCCAGCATTATCCTATCGATTAAACTTCTTGCAAAAGCTTCGACCATAATTTGAGACATTGTCAACTCGGCATGAAACTGAAATCGTATCTGTCGGGAACGATCGTCAGGTTTTCCACACGCATGGCAAACATGCTTGCACTTGAAATTCGCTGCAGGTGCCCGTTTCTTTCGACTTTTCTTTCAACTTTCGCTCCCACTTTCACCAATGTATTTGCTTAATAACAAGTTTAATTATGAACTGAATACGAAATTCGTGTAGGGTTGCCTGACACCCTAAACTTAGAACTTGCAAAATGTCCGCACGTGTTCCGGAAAATGTCGAAGGATGCTGAACTGAAATTGATTTCCAAGATTGTTGTTCGCTCACTTCATGGAACGATCCTTTGATAATTAAGTTTGGAGATCAATATATATATATATATATATATATATATATATTACAAACGTATTTGCAAGTTATTATACATTGCTCTTTCGCTTTTTACGTTGCAACAGAACTGCCGATGTAACCTCAACGTTAAATCGAGCCGAATAAGAATATCGAACGCTCGTTTGTCAAAGGGAAAATTCATACACGTTGCTTGAATCTTCACAAAGTTTATACAAAATGAGCGACGTAAGATGGATTGTATCACCAACTATAACGTGAGAGCGAAGCATCTCAAGAGACAGAGCAAGCTATTAGCACCGAGAAACGCGTCCGCCAGAGATGGATCAGAATAAGTACATAGAAGTAAGAATCGTCGAACCTCTTGCGGAAGTTCCGACAACCGACACCACGCGCGAGTATTTCATAAAAACGTTAAGCACAATTCACGAGTGCGACAGTGTGAAGGTCTGCCAGTCGTGCGTTCAAAGCGAGAACTCGTGCGCGCAGAGAAACGTCCCGCATCCCGCGAGCCAGAAGTCGAACATCAGAAGCTTTCCGTCTTCGAAGCAGAAGCTGAATTCGGACAAACCGCTCGACATCGATTTGCTCTTGCGATGTTACGCGCGTAATTCAGACATGGAGAAATCGATAAACAAAGTTCTAGCGAGAATGGACGATCAGGCGTGCAAAGACACAGACCTCGCACCGTTGATCGAACTGGGCGCCGTTTGCAAAATTTGCGACTCGCTGGGAAAAGATTCCTCGCCGTTGCGCGAGTTGCAACTCACGATGCGGCGATGGAGCGAGAAGAAGCTGGAAGAGATCCTCTCGAACGACCCATCGATGAAAATGTGCGAACACTGCGGCGTGATAAGCTGCGCGAAGCCGCGGCGTACTTCCGTCGAGTCGCGAAAATCGCCACTTACGACCTCTTACTTTTTGAACGCGCAGATGTTCCCGGACGGTGACGACGACGCGAAAACTTACGGACAAGCGAGGAAAATTAATTGTGGAAAGGAGCAAGAGAAGAAACGAGTTGGAAAGTGCCGCAACGTGCAGAGGAATGGGAATCGTTTAGGCAACAAAGAGCGGATGGACGATGGAAAAACTTACGGCTCGCGGGAGATAAGTCTGAAACGAGAAAATAATTTTCCGCAATGTGTCGAGACCATGGTAGCTGAACGCGAACACGAAATGCGGTCTGACGCGATAAACAGAGAAGCGTTGGAAACGGATAAAACGGAGCTGCAAAATTACGTTAAAAGTTCGCAAATTAAAAATTCCAAAGGAACGGTTGGAGCGACGACTGAATATCAATCGCGGGTGGAAACTGACTCTAACTTCGAGGAAAACGATAAAAACAAAAAAGACGACACCACTGTCGATTTCGGAGGTAATTTTTTGTATTTTTCTAATCCAGTCGACTGTGAGGGTAAATTTGTGTCGAGAAGTAAGTTAAATAAATGTAAAGTGTCATTAAGGAAGGACCAGCGAGAAATGAATTCCAACGAGAAAGTTTTGAGAGACATTCTGTACGAAAAACCGGAATCCGATTTTGCTGACTCGGCAGCATCAAATTGTCAGTCTTTAAATAACAGAGAGCGCACAGGAAATAAACATAATCAATCAACGAACGTCGTTAACGATGCGGCTCAGTCTGGTAATGAAGCGACGTACTTGGCAAGGGATCGTGTCGAATCGATAGATAGAAAGAGTAAAGAATCGATTTCGCAATTGGATGAAACAACGCGCGTACATTCTAGATATCCTACTAATAGGCGTAGTTTCCTTTTGCACAACAAACTAAATCCAGAGCTTTCGGTAAGCGACAAACCGATGTCATCGGATAAAATCGAGAGAAATAGAGTTCCAAATATGGCCAGCGTCGATTCTCAAAATCGGACGAAACATTCGAGACACATCGAATCGGTTCGGAATGTTAAACAGCTTGAGAGTCTCACGTGCTTGATGGAGGACGATTCGTTAGAAAATTGCGTCGAGGCGTCTAGCACGTTGGTACAGATTAATGAAAGTAATACCACGCTCGTTAGCTCCTCGTCTGCAGAGAACATGATACGCGAATGGGTGAAAGTTCCGCAAATTAGCGAGAAAACTAGCGTACGAAACGAAACGTGCAAGAGTTTGGATTCGAAATCTTCTTCGGTTGATTTAAACTGTTCGAAAATGTCAACCGAATCGCAGCAACGTAATCGAGAAGATCGCAGCGAGTCATCGTCGAAGAATCAAACGAGAAACCATCGTCGGAGTAAACGAACTATATCGAGTATAATCAGTGGCAGCTTCAAGCTTTGGAACAGCAAAGACTCGATAAAGGATAAAGGGAGTGAGAAACGTTTTCGAAAGCATTTGTTCGAATCGTTTAAAAGCGACAAATCCGTGAAATCGACGAAGTTGAAAGAGTTGAGCGAAAACAGTGAATCTTTAGATTCATCCAACGGTGTTCGAAATATTACGAGGCGAATCGTTTATGACGAATCGTCGTTACAAAATTTGATAGACAACAGCGGGAATAAAATGGAAGAGACGTTGTCACGTTATCGAAAAATTCTGGAAAGTACGGAGAATATGGATTGGCGCAGCTTTCGACGATTCGTCGAAAATTTACACCCCGGCAAGAGGAACGTTTGGCGCGACATTTGCAAAATTATCGATGACAAAGTGAAAAGAATGACCGACGAGGACGACGGCACTGCGGAGATTTGTATAGAAATCACTTCCGTTCCATCCCGAAAGGGAAAGGAGCAGGAGAGAGGACCGTGCAGCAACGAGATCGTGTTCGAGATGGACGTAACACTCGGAGACGTCGAGAGGTATCTCAGTAGGCAACTACCTTTCACGGAGAAAGAGCAGCTTGACACCTTTAAGAGAGCCAATGAAGTTATTAAAGTTGGAAACGATGACGTTTGTGATATTGGAGTGGCCTCTAATCAAGCTGAATAAGCAGTTCCGCACGCTTTCAATTTTTCCCTCTACGTAATTTCGATTATCATCAAGTTCTTTCTCGCCGTTCTTTCTTCTCTCTCTCTCTCTCTCGTTCTCTTTCTTTTGTTACGTGAAGTAATCTCCATAACGCGACAAATTCTTGAATAAAATTCCTGAATAAAATTTGGAGCGTACGAACATTGTACAACAGCGTAGATCTGTTGGATTTCTTTTCGTGTCGATCGAGAATCACCGAAATTCGCAGATTGCGCAACATTTGCAATGGCCGAGAGAGATACTAGGCAGCTGGTGTTAGCCGTAGTGTAACGTATAGCCGGATCGGTTGATCGCCGAGTGAAAGATTCGGTTGATGCAAGGTGGGCTAGGTGGATAAATGGGTTGGTAGGGGCACGGCGTAGAAAGGGTGGGTCGCCCCTGGGTAAAGTAGGGGTGGTCCAGCGAGCAGATTCCTGGGCTGATCGATGGAACGACCGGCGCATTGGATTGTTCCAAGAGTAGCGCGCGCATTCCCATCCTTCCCAACGCAGCATTGCATCCACCGTGTTCTTTCAGTTACTCACGATCCTGCCGTGGTGGTGCATCCACCTTTCGGTGAGTGCATACCTGCTAACGAGAGAACGATGCAACTGTGTCACTAGGCCGTGTGACACGTGATCCTGTCCTTGCACGGTGCTGCTTCTCTTTCACATCCGTGGCGACGTCCAATGATCGCGGCGTATCGGGAACGCGCACCTTGAATTCCCAAGGGGACGTGCGTGGTGCGTGATCAGCCTCATCCACGAAAATTGCTCTCGTTCTCGTTCTCGTTCTCGTTCACATCCCCTCCCGTTGCTGCATCTCAACCGTAAAACGTAGGTACGTAGCGACGCATCTCCGACACGAGTGAGAAAATAGATTATTCAGAGGCAAAATTGATTTACGGGGTGATGACAGGGTCAGCCTAAGTGCGTTTGTCGTAACACGAAAAGACCGGCTGATGTCGCTAGGAAGAGCACGGAAGAGTATTCGCTATTGCCAGGTGAGACACGTGGTGTTCAGATCCTATGGTGCGACAGATCACTCTCTCTGTCGAATACGCAGTAGATCTATTTTCCCTTCTTCTCACCCCTCTCTGTGTAACGCAAGCGTTCGAATGGTTTTAGACGTTTCTACTGGAAACATGCATAAACGTCGGTCCCTCGATGGAAACGTGCAGGAACAGGCATTGCCCATTCCAGTTCAGATGTTCCTTTGGCGACAGTTGAGGTACACAATATCCTTCTATGCAAATCGATCTAGTTCGTCGACGATCAATTTATCGAGATTCAGTATCAAATGTTAATAGCATTGACTTGAGAAAGATGCGCAGGTGAAACTCTTCATAGAAAAAGAAAAGAAGCGTTTAGCGATCAATTATTACGCAGCGCGTAAAGATTATATAAGGATTCTCGAGTTAACAATTTCTGTCATTCACATATTGATGCACTGCTGTACCATGTATTATACAGTATATATAGTAATTATGTATATATAATTTGCATATTGCAGGCCATTCATACGTGCGAAACTTGGCAAGGTTCATGAAGCAGCCTGCATGGTAAAAATTCACACCTTCATTTTTATAGATGTCCTTTTTTTTTTTATAAGTGAGGTGAACGATGCGCGAGTGCATGTATGTACATACATGAGTGTGTGCGCGAGTGCGTGTACGTATACGTGTGTAACATATACGAACAATTGATACAACAATGCAAAACTATTACAACGTTTCTGAATTTTGTTTGCAAATTAATTTTATAGCGACAGTCCCCAACAAATCTTGTCGACCGATACGATCAAATGATTGATTATATTTCGTGCAAACTATTATGACACGAGACACGATATCTCCGACATATTCGTCCACAAATTTCGAATCAAGAATATCCAATTTGTAGACACGCTTTTGCTCCATTACCATACGGAGGAACGAAGCATTGTTCTGTCCGAATTTTTCGCTTTCGTGATTGTCTCCAGGAAATTTGTTGTGCTTTCTGTTGGAGATCTACCTTGTTTATACGTACGGAGAGAATAAAAATTTAATAAAGTCCGGGCGATTCTTTTTCTACTTATTTCAACATGATTTCATAAACGTGAGGTGAATTCGAACGAATTTAAATTTAGACAGACAGACAGATCGATGTATAATTCATGCCAAATGAATAAAATCGAGTTCCCTTGTGCAGGAAATTATGAATTAATGCAACAAGAGGTGGATTTTTTTGTATGAATATTCATTGCAATTAAAGAAATGCGAGAATTACACGAGCCGGGATGTATCTGCGGAAATAAACTCGAAATGACTATGCTCCAAAGTATTTGAAACGAAAGGGGAATTATCAATTGCAATTTACACGAGTAATCTTCGTTAAGTTACCAAATTCGGATTTTATTCGAGCATTTTTGCACTCATGGAATCCAAAGTTTTGATCTTACACGTACAGATACAATTGAAAGAACAGATAAACACGGAGGAAGGAAGAATATATAAATATGAAATTGACACGTTGTAGAGAGATACTGCAGGATTTCATGCCGTGCAAAATCCTTATCAACCTGTATCCTGTCAGCCTTTTGTTTTCCAATACCTACCCGACCTGCACTAACAATGTAACCTCCTCCACGCTGCCGCCTCCACGTGTCACCTGCAGTTCTGTCAACACGCGCCAGGCCATCATGTAAGTTTGCTAAGCCTGATACCTGCCTGCTCCCATGCTTGCCAACCGATTTACGCAATTCTTATATACTCTCTTATTATTCTGGTTCGATTACTGGAGAGAATTCACTATTTATAAAAACTATCTACTATCTATTCCTTTATTGTATGCTTCTTTTCTACAAATGCGAAACGTTTGCCTTAGTTGCAATACCAAATACATTATTCGATATTCAACCCAACTTTCTCTCAGTTTTGCGTAGCTTTTCTTCTAGCTCAACTCTTCCAACTAACGTCTTGTACATATACATTGTAATATTTCGTTCCATTCGCCTTTAGTTACTAAACTAAAAATTAAGTAGAACTGCGGACATAGCTTTGGATTGGTAAATTTTGAATTAACACATCGTAAGCTGGATATGCCTCGTTGTTTTTGTCGTTCACTTCGTTCTTTAAATATCCGTTGTCGCGAGATTTTTGCGTTTTTTTTTTTTCATCACGCGTTCAGTTGGTGAGTAGTGATTTTTATAGCAATTGTTATCCCACATTTGAACAAGATACCTCAAACAATTGTAAGCACTGATTCTTCTTAATAATTCACACATCATTTTTTGTTAATTATGTGCGCGATGCAATGACGTACGATTTTTACTTTGCATCATCTACTTTGCTTATCGCAACTATTTCTTTCCTCTTGTTCATTTTTCTCACTGTTTTACAACTTTCAACTCTTTCCTGCAATGTGCTCGAAGGGACGAGCTACTAATCTTGCGCCTGTGTGTTTTTAATGCGTACGTAGGAGACCAAGGAAGCTTGTACGGTTGGTATAACTACATCAGTATTACTTACTTTCACTGCTCTCAAAATATGTTTCGAATAATTTAATCACCCGACGCTTAAACTGCCAAGCTTTTCAAACAACTTTCAAATGTTCGTTGATAGTCTCTGGAGAAAGTGTTAGTTCAGAATCTTCACAATGATTTAACACCCTCTTTGAGCCTGATGCTGGGCACTGTGCCACGATGGCGTTTGATCCAGGCCGCTCTTCCCTACGTTCTCCATGCCACGGCCAATCTTTTGCACAATAGGTGAGTTGCCCATCTTTGTGCTCTATTTTCTCCTGTAATTTCTCCAAGCGTCTGGATGTCATTTCACGAGAACCGGTTTTTGGTTAATCATTAAGGAAGGATTTTCAAACTCTCGGAGCCATGGAGACAACTCTTCTTTACATTCTGCACTGGATACTTCTCGACGCTGCTGAAGAATGTGCCGAAACGGATGCCGATCCAGGAAATCCCTTTTATTATCTATTTTCTATACCTACTATGAGTGTAAGATTACTTTATCGATTTACTTACATTGTTAATTAATTAATTCTATGGAATTTGTTGTGAGAAAAATATATCAGTGACTAATATAGATTGCGGATTTTTATGCATTTAGTGAAACTTTAAAAAAAGTGAAAAAAAAAAATATAGATATCTAAAGTAAGGCATTTGCAATGATATTTAATAAATGAAAATCTGCAATGTAATGATCAACTGTCACTGGATTATTATAAAACAATCTAACAGTTTCACGTATCTCTGCTTCTCCGTAGCTGTTCGTCTATCTTTTCGCACCATTGTGCAATCACCTAAAAGATATCGATTTTAAAACAAACTTACGTTTGGAGAACGGTTTAAAAATATGGTCGGCCATGTATGAATGTCGTCATCCGGATACACCTTGCTTCACTACACACTGTCGAATTAAACCACAAGCTTTGTGGAGTCGATCTTTCAAGTCTTACAAACAACATCAGATGTCAGATGATGTGTTTGTTGGAGGGAGTAAGTGAAATCATTTTATATACATATGTGTTGTAATACATTATATTAATTATATTATATTATTTTACTTACTGTATTATATTATATACAAAGTATCCCATCTGAAACGTCCCACGTTCGTTATAGGAAAAATACTTCTAATAAAATTTACTTTTAATCTTGTTTCGAGTGGAGCATCTTATGGTGGTTTTAAATCTTGATCTAGGTGCACGTGATTCCAAACTAATCTTTGTTTTTTTAAATGACACTATATATTTTTCTCTAAATGACATACTCTGAAACATTGGAAAAGGTGCAACTATCCTTTAGAGATAGAATAGAAATATAATACAAATTTAAAGATGAAGGACAAAATAATAATTTCTTAATACGTTCAAAACTAAGTCTAACTTAAAACATTTCTTTCTCTATAACGAATAGTTCACGAGGCATTTGCGTGGCATGTTTCAAATAGGACATATAATTATACATTGTACAATTAAATATACTTCTTAGATGTTGAAAGTCCACCGAGTCAGTCAGTTAGTGCGTTTTCTGATCAAAGTGGAGACAGATCTTCAACGAAACAATTGGACGACGACGTAAGTGCAAAACGTTGATGTCAGAATGAAAATTGTCTCTATCAATTGATATTCAACTCAATCCGTATCATTTGCAGAATATTTGGGTATCGTCGCCAAAAGACACTGTATTCCCAGAAACCATCCCCGAGGAGAGCTCTGGCGCCGAGGACGAACACGTAGTGAGTATCTAGAACAAACTTCCAACAGCTTCTACTTGTTTCCACTTTATTCGATAAAATAATAGAATGAATATATCAGGTGATCTTCAGGTTGCCGTCCCTCAGCGAGTCGGAGAAAGCACTTGACGGGGTAAGGAAAGTTTCGAATGCTTTTCACCTTGGCAGAGGTACAATTATTACTTCAAGACACAGATTTGCCGATTTTTATAAATTTACGTGAAACTCAAAAGCGCGAAAGTTCATAGAAATTTACAAATTTAGTGTAAAGAGTAAACTACACATCGTAATACAGAGTTGTCTAGTTTCCATTTTTTTTTTCAACTACGCTCGCAAAAATATGAATTTGCATAAATATTCGCAGTGCTAATATGTCAGTTATTCCCTGACGATCAATAATCATTCATTGACACAGGGATTTGCAAATTTATAACGACAAAGTTTAAACGCATTGTCATTTCAGGGTGAAGCTAGTATTTTCCACGTGGCCATGGGCAGGACAACTGGGTTTTCGAAATTAACGATAGAACAGGTTACAGCTATTTCAGCGTTGGACACTTGTAGACAATATCAGGAAAGATCAACGACCATAGGGTTAGTTAATGTTTGTGAATCAGCAAAGTTTTGCTCACGACATAGCGCCCTCTAATAAAAGAATACGTTTATTAGAGGTGTGGAGAAGGAAAAAGAAGATCAGTATCACAAAACGGAGAAAGATACGCAAGACACGTTGAAAACGAAAGGTCCCGTGCTGCAACGAGGTCCTACTGATTCAAATGGCGCGGGTTTAACAAGTAGTTGTCCTGCCATCGATGCCGATGTTCGGGCCGCTACTTTTCTCGACGTAGCTGTGCTTAGGTGCCTTTTTGTTCCTCAGTGGCAAGAGGAAGGTGTACATTGGGCTCTACAATTTTTATACCATAGGTAATTATTTGTCTATATATGCGCTTTGCGTATTTAGAATTATTGCAACGCGAAATATTGCATCGCAGATTACGCATGATTAACGAGGAAACATCGGTGCAACAAATGCCGCGTCGCCGTAGCAATTCTTTACCCATACCTAAGATAGAAGTGTCGATTTACCAAAGTCCGGAAAGTAAAAAGAAAGACGTGTCGAAGGATTTTATGGAGGTGCCGGCAGTTCGAGAAGACGCCTTGCTTCTAGTTGGTATGTGAAAATATATATATATATTATCCTAAAAAAATATTTCTTCTGGAACTTCGAACTTTGTGCTTCTGTTGCCACGTACGATAGATCAGGATGTTGAGTCTAGTCAAACGACGCGAACTAGCGAGAAGTCAAAGAAAAGAATGAAAATGGCTGACCTCAAAGCATTTGTCGAGACGAAATTGTTGTCAAAGTCTGAGAAAGCGCTCGAGAAAATTGGTCAAGACGATCCGAAGATGCTGTTCGAGCAGGTAATTAATTGGACAGAATTCATTGCCAGAAACTGTTTAAAGCAACGTGTAACGGGGATTTTTATTTCTAGGATAGCCGTAGAAGCCTCGACACGGGCGATGAAACTTTGACGAAACCTCCTTCGACAACTTCGAAAATCTTCGAAGCGAAAGACGTCGATCATATGAAACATCCAACGAACTTAATCAAAGGAAAAAGCATGCCAAGTTTAAGGTACGCAATACAGGCTGCAAGTAAAATTAAACGTATATCGAAATATTTCGTTTAATACTATCTCCTCGATTGTAAGTTCTTCTTCTTCATTCGTACTCACATACATACATATTATTTTATTACGATTTCTTATCTCGCGTTACAGCTTCAAATTTTCCGCGAAATTCCTTTAATTCGTTAATTTCAATTTTGTGTATGTGCGTGCGTATGAATCTCCAGTTAAGTTGTTAACGACCTAAACGATAACAGTGAAAGAAATTTTCTTACGAAAAGATAATGTGCTTAAACTACTATATGCCGTACTAAGGAACAAGCATTTCTTAGATAAACAATTTTTCACTTTGATCGTAGATTATAATCAGTGTTGGGTAGTACATCGTGTGTCGTACATATTGAGTTACAATACGAATAAAAATAAAAATGGCATCTATACATAGATCTTACGTATTTACCTCATATTTAATATAGAAATACTTAATATATTGAAATAGACAACTAATATATGTAGAATGTCTTGATATTTTAGATAAATGCCACTTTTATTATTTTTTTTTTTTTTTATTCACAATAGTTTCTAATACAATATTTATAGACAGAGTAATGTATTACGCTTGTTTTCATTATTTCCTGCCAATTATTATTAGCACAATCACAAATCATAATAGAATTAGAAAAGAATTAGCAGTACATTCAATTTATCGATTATTACAATACTCCATTCCAAGTATACTTCGAAATTCAATTTTCAGGCATCGTCGATTTCTAGTGAGATTTTTAATTAAACTTCTTCTAGAGATTTCTTTAGAGAATTACAAGTGCATCGTTCTCTAGATGTAGTATCGTTATTTCGAATCTCATAGATTTCAAGGGAAGCTAACTTTTTTTTAAAACCCAACACTGACTGTTACTTTCCAGTTATATCTAAATTTTCATAGATTCCCAAAACTATGTTATTCCAATGAATACGCAGATTCTGTCACGGTGGTAAAAATCGAAGCGCAGAATCAATATCGAGAAATAAAACGGAGCTTCGATTCTTATCCAGTAGAAAGAGTTTGCCTAGTTTCATTCGTGACACAGTTTTGTTCTATTCTGCGTAATTTGATAAGCCGTTGGTTAAAACTTATGCGTAATGTGTTTCTCTGTGTGTCTCTCTCTTCTCTCTCTCGTTCGCCTTTTCACCCCTGAACTCGTACTCAGCTGCTTGATTAACGAGCTGACCGCGGGAGGGTAAGTCATCAACGTCACTCGGAGGAAGTTCCGTACTGCAGCTCGGTTTACACGCTTCTTTTACGAGCTTCCTGCTTCCGGTAGGGCGCACAATTATCCTTTAAACACACACCACGCCCTAGCCGCCTTGGCACGTTAGCCAGAGTCAACGTATACCGTAAACACGCATCGTTTCTCGCGCTTATTTCTCGAATTTTTACCCTTCACAAGCGAAGCAACAATTACGATTTCGAGTAACATTGACCGATTGTATCTCGTGACGATATATCTATTGTCCACTAAATTGCAATTAGTTATGTTTAAGTGTTAACGTTTGAATGCACAGTCCTTATCGTGTGAATTATAATATTGATACACAAATCAGAATTTCAATCGCCAATTTTATCACAACGAAATCATTTATCACGATATCATTTATTTTGTAAATTTCGAAGTTGCATGTGTAAAGAACAATACTTCGTTCGTAATTTTTACCCTTGACTTTTCAGTCTTATTTTATTGCATACATACGCGTAGAATTTCGCCAAAATTTTATTCGCTGACTGAATATTGTATACGTGACATTTATAGCTAACAATGTTACAAATATTATCACAAATCTAGAGTAGGTTCACTGAGAATTTAAATTTCTATTTGCTACTAGCAATTGTGCAAATGTATATGTTCCGGACCCTGTAATGTAGCTTACAATTTAATTTACAACCAACAAGAAAATATATCTATATTTATACAGTGTGTATAAATTTTCTATATTTTAACATTCATACTTTGCCAGTGTTTTCTATAGGCATAGATATAAAACTGAAATATCGCATAGTAAAAAGTTCATGAATGCTTCATTGAAAAGTTCTAACAAAAATATGGAAATAGCTGAAGTATCTTCTCTTTTATCAACGCAAAGTTAGTATCGCAGCTATTGAATTTTATATTGACATTGTTAAATTTTTTTCTTGTAATTAATTTATCTCGCGAAATATTTTTGTGTCGTAAAGAGAGTCTTAAAAAGAAAGAATAAATCTTGTATCAATACGTAGCATGAACATTACATATTTTACTTTATCTTGTATTAGAGAAAGAGAGTATTATAGCGTATCTATTACATCTTATATTTATTACATTTTGTATTTTCCTGTAATGGAGTATTTATAGACGTTTTGCTACATGGTATTTTAGCCTTATTTTTATCTATGTATAAACAAGTAACACTGCCAAAGTTTGAACGCTAAAATGCAGTGCATCCTACATTATATCGTTGTAACAGGCTTATTTATCAAATTAGATTCCAGTTTGAAAGTACTTTGAAATTTTGATCTCGATCCTCATCGGTTGTATCACGAGTACACAAAGGTACAAAAGGTTCTTCCTTGGCAAATTACCCTGTATTCTTCAATCACTTGCGTACTTAAGTCACGAAAGTATTCAATTTCACAATAATAAAGATCGACGAATCGTAACACAGTAAAATATAATTGAGAAGATGCACATCGAGCATGCAACGTGGAATGGCAAGCGCACTGAAGTAGATAGGAACCTTAGAGATCAGACCGTAGTGCTTGGCTAGGAGACACTCACAGTGTCCGATGGCATGGACAGAGTTGATCGAATATATCTCCACAGTGTGTGGACCTTCTGATCAATCGTATCTCGCAGGTACGTCGGCGATACTCGTATTGAGAGGAAACAAAGTCGATTTTATAGTCAATCGTACACCGCGCCAAACCCTATCATCACCGTCACGGAACACACGCCTACTCCATCCCCAGATTACATGAAGCGACAGGTAAGTGGCTTAATCACGATCGTAAGTGTGGATTTATTGTTACTATTGTATACCACTTGATAATTAAAATAAAAATTGTCGTCTTATCACAAAGACACGTATTATTATATTTATTACAAAGGCTATAGATAAGAAAATTATAGTAATTGAAATTGAATTGAAATTCAATATAATTCAATTAAAAATCAATATAAAATTACAATATTGAATTACCAAATTATGGCGATTGAATTCGTGGTGCTTTTTTGTAGGGTTCAATTGATAGTCAATTAGACGTTATCAGTATGCACGGTAACCGTTTAGATTCTGAAAGGAAACCCAGTCTTACACGGTCGCAGACGGATTCGAATATTACTTACGCCAGCGACGAAATACCAGAAGCACCTGGTTCCTGTTGTTACATCACCAAAGAAGGTGACATCGATCTGCAGGTTGTTCTAAAAGTTGGTATTACCATTGAGCTCTACTACTTTTGTATTAAATGTATACAACGTTTATTTATTCATTGCATTCTTCACCTTTTGCCAGGCTGTGCATTCAGTTGCCTTGAGGGACAGCAATTGTTGCACCTTACGAGTATGCGAGAATATATTAAATTTAATGGAACTTTTGATAGACATGGGAGTGATGAAGCAATGTTTTCGTGACGAAACAACCGGCAGTATAGCAGGTGAATGAAAACTATTTTGCAAAAGGGATCGGACAAGTTGAGGAACTTTTAAATAGATAGATTTCAAAGATAGATTCAATATTTATAGCTGACACTGATAAATAGCGCTCGAATATAAAAGTGGACTTTTAATTAATATTCTAAAATAATTCGTTTTCATGGAACTTTCATTATACATCTGTTTCACAAGAACGCTATGACGTGTGACACTTCTTTCTATAAAAACTCCACAAGAAATAGATATTTCTTTGTACGAAATACACAAATTCGAGCAGAATTTTTTGTAAAAGCGAAGAGAACCTGTGTTAATCTCGATTACGTGAACGTCTTATATTATTTCATTCGCCTGATACCGTAATCGAATATTCTCTCAGAATCTGCGACGGTGGTGGAAAGAACGGAAAGTGGAAAGAAGAAAGGTTCTCCCGAGAACGAGCAAGAGTACCGGCAAGATCTGCCGGAAGAGTCCAAATACCAGTCTCACAATCTCGTCATGAATTGCGTGATCAGAGTAATAAAACACTTGGGCTGCCCGCACAGCTGCTCGGACGGAATACGGGGACCGCAGGCCGACTTCTGTCGATCTCAGGGCCAAACGATCCTCAGCAAGTTGCATCGAAACAGTTCGAAACAGTTCTCCCGGTTCCTGAGATCAATGGTGCGGGAACAACCGATACCGGAGATTTTGGAATTCTTTCACGCATTCGTTGGATTCTGCGTGGATCCAAGTTCGTTATTATCTCCACTTAGTGAGTAAATCGAGAGGAACGAACAACACGGCACGGTGTACGCTTTCGATATTTCATCCCGATATTTGCCAAGACGCTCGCAAAATGCCACGATCAGCGCAATTGGTTCTCTCGAGACGCAAAATTTATTTTCAAACGCAATTGTCGAAAATTTGTTGATTCGTGTCGCCTTTGGTATCGCAGTTTCGCAGTTTCGCAAACGCACATCCTTGTACGCGCATTGATGATTATTTTGTTACTCTTGATTTTCAATATTAGCAAGAATTTCGCGCGACGCAAAGGACTTAGGGTGTATCTTGTGTGGCAGATCAGAAACGAGGGTCCAGCAAATCGCCGGAGGTCGGCTCGCAAGGTGGATACGCGACGAATTTTGGTGCCAATATTATTGGAACTGGGGGAACTGGCGGTGGCACTGGCAGTTCCTCCGCGACAGCTGCTGCGGGCACCGTGGCTGCAACAACCACTGGGACTGCAGCTGGATCGTACGGTGGATTTAGCAGCCACAGCGCTCGCGGCATAGAGGGTCACATTTTCAATTACGTTTTCAAACCGCTGGTTACGCGTTTCGTAAAATCACTGAAGGAGCTGAAGTCGCAGGAGAACATAAGCTTGTACTGCGATCTTCGGCAGTTCATGTCGTACGTCAAAGAAGTTCACGGCGGTGCTTTCCGCCGTGTTGCTCTGAGTGGAATCTTGGACTCTGCGGATCGACCTAACAAGCGATGCAACAGCAATGTTCAAACGACCCGTGTTATTAGGTAAAGGAATAACTTACTGGTCAAGCAATTTTTGCGAGATGCGAGAGGATGTAAGAGGAAATAAAAGGTACAAATAATTTTTAATAGACACATACACCAGTCTGATTTGGAGGAACACGCAGATATCGGTGAGGAAACTTGTTACACGGTGGATGACAGAGGTACTAGGAAGTTTCTATTCAAAAAGCGTAGTACGTCCTCGACTTGCGCAGTATGTACACCGTGTCAAATGGATGGTATATCGTCATTGGTTTCTTCATTTTAATGATGTAGTTCACGTTTATGCAGAGCCTTCTTGAAACAGAACTGAGCGAAGAGAATGCGAAGATCAGCCAAAGCCCCTTGGGAAATTTGAGGAAAAAGCATCACATACTCACACCGCGGCAAAGTGAACGTAATTTAGGGATAGACTTGAGCTCTGGGAAAATTCGGAAATCTACACGCTTTCAAATTGGCGGCATAGGTAGAAATTATAAAAGTTTCGAACATCTATTGCGAAGAACGCGGTGAAAAAAGTGATTATTTGCAAGATTGTCACGAATATGTACAATTTCAGTCAATTGGTTTCGAAGGGAATATGGCAGAACTGATTCCACCGACAGTCACGAAAGCAGCGAATCGCCAACAGATGGTAGTTTCGTTAGGCAATCTAGTTTTCATTACGGTCATCACCGTAGTGCATCTAGATCGGGTCGTGGGTGAGTCCATTTTCATAAAATTTCACGCATAAACAGGATGTTCACGGATTTACTAGACAGGATTTTTCTCGAAATGAAGAAAGAGTAGTATTATTTTTTGCAAGCCACACAATAATATATGAAAATTTTTTTGTATCTTTTATTTTTAAGAAACGAAGGTTAATTTTTTTTTTAAATAAAACGCTACATATTTTTACTACGTGAAAGCAAAGTGATACAAAATGATCTTTGAGCTCATATAAGGTCTATATTTCTTATGTACTAGAAATATTATTATAATATTTAATAACATTTCTTATGTACTAGGAATATTATTATAATAATATTAATCTATGTATTAGTAGAGATGTATCTTTTATTTTCGATACATCACATATACATCATAATATATGCTTGATATATGATACAAAAAAATTTGTAGCATTTAAAAATTTGAACTTCATTTAAAAAAAAGATGGTGCAAAAGAATAAAAAAAGATTTCATACACCATTATGTTGCTTGCAACAAGCAGTATTATTTTTCCCTCTTTTCTTTTTTTCTCATACTTAATGTTTATGTGAAAAAACATTAATATATACGTGAATACCGTGTACATGTATACAGAACACATCAGAACTAAAGATCGTACAGAAAGTACACTAGAAAAGGATAAGAAATTTTATTGTACCATTTAGTAACAGTTTATCGAAATGTTAAACTCTATAAACATTCTGTTTACGTAGCGTTGGCCTAACTTTGCAAAAAGCGAAACGTCGAATGGAAGATCAGTTGAACAAGATTGGCTTCGGAAAGAGTAAGAAGAAAGAAAGTCTGGAAGAGGTGCCAGGAAGCTGTAAGTGAACAACGACGAACCATTCCGTCGTCTACTATTGTATTTCAAAAGTCTCAGCTAAGACACGATTTCACTGCAAACAGATCTCAGCAGAAGAAATTCCATAGAATTTGGCGAAGCCTCTAGAGAATCAGAGTTCGTAGTGTTGAAAGAGAGAAGGCTGGTACCTCGTAACGCCGTCTACGATGGAATGCTTAGATTCTCATTCTTACTGGAGACTTGCCAACCGGGTTCGGTTCCTGATCACTATCTAATGGCGGCAATCTTAGATCTTGTAAAAATATTTTATTTCTCACGGTATTAATCGATCTGAAACTTTACTTAAGTCGAGCACGTCGTTGATCTTCCACGAGATTCGAAAGAAATTAACATTAAGAAGATATCATGTACTTCTTCCTCTTCTAGCCTTACGCTCCGGTGGTTGCACGAGCTTCATTGTTGCTGGAATGTGCCCATTTCGTTCATCAGTGTAACAAAGGGCAATGGCCAACCTGGATGAAGATGAACTTTCCCCTGTTTCGTCCGTCGGTTCCCATTAACAACCGGAACACCACGATGGCATCCCGGGTTCACATGCTTCAACGTACTGCTGGAAAATTATTCTATCAATGGGCAGAGGTACATTGACATTCCAGCCGAGAGAAGGAAATCTCTGTGAAACCGCGAACGTCCGACAGTGCATTGCTTTCTTTCGACAGGCTATCGGAACAAGACTAGAGGAGTTATTGTTAGAAGACAAGCAAAACGTCGATCAGGTGATCGCGACGGTGTCCGATGAAAATAAACAGAGAGATTTGATCATCGAAGACGAGGAGGAGGATTTTCTCGACGAAGGTGATTTCACGCAATGATCAAAATCAAAATGTAAAGAGGATCGCCGCGAGCGAACAACTAAACATGTTCGTTGTCGTTTCAGCCAGCATAAACGGCTACGGATCACAATGTCCGATCGCGTTGCGCCTAACAGCCTGCATTCTACTTCTGGAAGTGACAGCGTTCTTACGAGAAACCTACCAAACATTGCCCAAGTTCAAACTTCTGACGAAGGAACGGCCGCCACCTTGGGAAAGGATGTACAACAGAGAGGCGAATCGACGATGGAGCATGGCACTTTCGTCGATGGGTCATTCACAGACCTCGGCTCAAAGTCTTCAATCGATCGTAGGTGACCGGGAAATGGCTCGTAAGTATAAAAGGCAAAACGTTCTCTCCTACTCTCGTTCTTTCACTCTGTTCTCTCCCCTTAACTTGATCCCTCTAAATTGAATTTTTAGCGGAACGTAAGATCAGTTTCGTGCTTTACGAACCTGACAACGAGTCAGAAGGTAGTAGTAAATCAACCGTTACGATTCAAGGGGAAGATTTTCAAACAACGGAAAAAGAGAAGGCGAAGCGCGTGCAACCGCCCCAAGGTCGGCCGCTTCTTCTTCGCCGTGGCACCGCGGAGAATGCGACTGGCTCGTTTAAGAAACGAAGTTTGAAACTTCGACGTGGCACCAAGGAAGGGAAAGATACTGAATGCGAGGCCTGTGAGTATACGAATAGCCGGCGGTTCGTGGCTTGAAATCGCAGAGATGCTTTATTATTTCTCTTTTTTTCTTATGCGAAAGAGGATTGCATGGATTGTTGATGATAAAGTTAAATATTACGAGCAAATACAAATCAATTAAAAAAAATAATAAATATATATGTATATCGAGAAAAATTGGAGAGTGCTGCAGTTACGCAGTGTCTATCCAGTGTATTTGATAAAAATATTAACACAGATGAAACAAATAAATATATAAATATGAATGTTTTTAGATACGGTGAAACGAGCAGACTCGATACAGTCGAAGAGGAAAGTGAGCTCTCTGTCAGACAGAAGCGACACGTCCGAGCCTGGTTTCGGTGGTGAAATCAGCGGGGAAGAGTCACCGGGAATTCTCATCGACGATCAACCACCGGAGAGTCCAAGCGACAGCAACGAAACTGACGAGACGAATAAGAATTTCCCTTGGATGAAGGTGCTGATACAGCTGGTCAATTCGTTCAACTTCTATTGCTCCCATCAGAACTTTTGCCATCCGTATTGCCATCGGCGTCAGATGCGAGCGTGCAGCAGATTGATCAAGTCCATAAGGAAAATCTACGGCGAGGAATTCGGGATTCTCAATGGCACGGGGATGTTCGACTTCGACACGGACAAGAAGGAGGCGAGCAAAAAGGAGAAGCGGAGCCGCAAGGTCTCGGAACAAACGAGCACTCAGGTGTCGCCTGTGCGCAGGAAGGACAGCGTTGGGAAAAAATACAAGTACGCGAGTTTCTTTCGTAATTAAACAGAGGCACCAAGATGAAAAACCGATGAAAGTGTGTGTGTGTGTGTGTGTGTGTTTTTTCAACAGAGTCGAGAAGAACATGGATGGCTCGCAGTCGGGCAGATTGGCGCAACGAGATTCCTCAAAGGATTTGGCTGATCAAGACTCGGAGAAAGGGAAGGAGTCGTCGAAAATCTCCGGGGATTCGGACAAAGAGAATTCGCCGGTATTGAAATATCTGAAAACTCAGGTGAAGGATATATTTCACGCGCCGCTGGCCACTATGGTGAAAGGGGCGGTGGTGATGACCGAGGAGTTGTTCGTTGACGTTCTACCCGTCGCTTGGGAACTTCTGTTGGAGTCGAACCAGGAGGTTGCAGCGTCCGCCGCGTCTCTCTTCATAGTGGCGGCTGTACGAGCCCCAAATCAAGCCAGCGAGTTGATGCATCACGGCCTCGAGCACAGCAGCTCGAGCGTACGAATAAACGCGATATTAAGATTTCAAGTGCTGTGGAAGCTGCGATATCAAGTTTGGCCGCGCATGGAAGAGAATGCTCACCTCACGTTCAAGGTCCCTCCACCTGGAATAGAATTCACTTTACCATCGCCGAAAATCGGTATCGAATCGTTGCCAGTCGTGGATCCGCCTTGGATGCCACAGGTGAAAACAAAGGTGGAGGAAGTGACTATTAACCAGGAGCATCATGTAAGCCTTGAGATAAGCGTTGAAATTGTAGAACACCTTAGAATTAGAACTTTTTCAGTAGATTAAGTAGAATTTACTACAACTATTACTTAGAGGTCCCTGGTGACGGCAACGAAAACTCGTAAGAAGCAACAAACTGAACTCATAAAAAAGGCTTTGCAGGCACAAGACGACAAGAAACGCGAAGAAAGGGAAAACTTTCTGATCACTACCATACCGATTACTGTACAAGCAGCATACGAGCCAAGCCCTGTCGGAGATGATCATGATGAGGGTACGGTGCCAATTTTCCTTTCGAACCTCACCTTTTGAACTTAATTTGTCCCTCGATGTCAAATTGGCACCGACAAATGATAAAATATCAACACCCACAATGGAAAGAATGCATAATTTTATTAACAATAAGTCGATTAAATTTCTATTTTACATTGTACATAAGTATTCAATTTCATATCGTGATCTTGCAGTTTCTAGTTTCGTCTAACGTTATGATCGTGTTTTGTGTTTTCATTTCTTACAGCTATATTCTAAACCGTATGCATTAAATTCTAGTATATTAATTAGAAGGCAATATACCGATCGTTTAGAGATTTGAAAACAAATGTTATTTGCAACCTTGGTGATCATTTCGTTAATATACTTTATATATTTAGAAAAAACACATGTTGCAGAGTATTGTCTGTGTATCAATGTAATGGCAATAAAAAATGTTTAGCTGTATTAAAAATTCATTTAAAATTGCGTGTTAACATTCGAAGCTCATTGTCACTCATTCGCGATAAATAATCGCAATGAATTCCCATTCCCGCGTCTAATGATCGACTAACTTTGTAGGAAATGTTGGAGACGAAGATGGCGGCGAAACTATACCGAGAAACACATCTCATCATGGCCAATCTGCACCTTCGTTATTTCCATCTTCGCTGTGCTCTGCAATCGTGCAGATAATTAATCTCCTTGACGACGCTGCCGTTTCAGACGATGGAAGCGCCGTTTACGAAGTTGCGTATCAAGTAAGCAGTTCACCGTCCAATTAATCGCGCGGCAAGTTATTTCAACAAACAAATTGAATGGTTTTTAATTTCATCGCAGGTAATCTGGAACTGTTTGGTAGAAGACAGTGCGCTGTTTCTTCGTTACGTTTTAGAACGTCTTACCAGGGAGAAGCAGGAGTTGATGTTCAAAATTTTGAGACATCTCATTCGGTTCGTGCCGAAGCTACCTCAGCAGGCTGCTTTTGCTCTGTACAATTATATTATTGGATACGTTATGTTTTATGTGCGTTCACCGCACGAAGAAGGACAAAAGTTAATCGGAACTGCACTTTCTATACTATGGATGGTAAATAAATTCTCTCGAGTTTAAACAAGCCAACGCCATCGTTTGCACAGAGTGTCACAATCTTAAACGTCAAAATTTCGGCAGCACGTACAGGATTAATAAATTGAAAAACTCTTTTAAAGATTTGCTTTCGAGATTCTCAGTTTATTGATTTTCTACACACTTCCAAAGTTTCGACATTTAAATTCGGTATAGCTGTTATAAGGGATTCCATGTGTTTGAGTTATGGCATATTTGCTTTAGCTATGTTTTTCACTTATTTCTGCAAGTTCCTATTTTGTTCAGATCAAAATTGAATAGCTCTGAGAGTTTCTGTTCTTAACAGGTCGTGCACAGCGTCCATGGAATAATGTTCAAAGACTTGAAACAGATATTACGGAAAGAGCAGTGTGACGCTTCGATTTTGTTGACCGCGAACGTTCCATCCGCGAAAAGAATCGTAGTTCACGGTCCGCAAGGACCAGATGCAGGAGGAATTCCCTCGCAATTCCCAGTGCAGGAGGACACGCAATTTTGCCAAATACTGCGGGAATCTTTGGACTTTTTCGGCATCGAGGAGTCGAAGCAACGAGAGTACTTTCTTGTTGACTACAAAACACGTTTGTACTAATCACATCTTTCTAAAAAAAAAAAAAAAGTCATACCATATAATTTACGATTGCTCGTTTCTCTTTCTTTTACACAATTACTTACTTGCGTTTTTTTTTCAGATCAAATTCGCAACCCATCGTCGTATGTTCGCGATTACTATTTCTTTAAAGGGAGATCGCAATTTTCGGAGATCGAATTGGTTCATATGAAACCGGAGGACGCGTTCAATGCTTTGCAACGTCAAGAACTGATTCACAAGTTCGTCGAAATCGGCAAAGTGTTGCTAACGTGGGCAATTTTGAAAAACGTCGACATGGTAGTTCAAAGGGTAGTCTTTCTTCACGAGGAGCTAATGAAGCTACCTTCTTTCCCGAGAAGAGCACTGGAGGCGGACTTGGATTTGTATAAAGGTGGTGAGATTGGCAGGGTAAGCAAAACACTATTCTACTTTTGCGTAAAATAGAGGCAATTTTGATCACTGAAACAGGCCATTAAACTTGTCTAGCGTCAAGGAGCACATACTTTGATAGTTTCTGTCATAGATAAATAATGATAGTTGATTATTTTTTTCCATAGGTGAACGCGTAGAGAACATATGGAGATCAACGTTTTCAATGAAATCGTATAATGTTTAATTCATTAACAAGTAAATGGTAAAATAATGGTTCCGATGTAAATGGATTAACACTTTGCATTAAAAATTAAACGCGTTCACCTATGGAGAAATGATCAATAACAGATTGTGCTCGATGTCAAGCAAGTTTACCTACTATACACCGAGATAAACCATGAATTTTATGATCATTCCTTTGTCAGGAGCTTCTTGGTCTAGACGTGATGCACAAATTTATGTGGGTCAAACTGATCGCGAGAATGTTCGAAGCGATGGCAGGCAATTTCGCTTATTCAGGAGACATTCATTTGTTTTTAAATGTTCTGAACGGCGCAGTAATTCTGCACAGCGAAGACTCGTGCATTTTGCGTTACGTCATTGCTACGTATATTAACGCCGCGCATAATTTCAAGAATATTTTTTCGACGAACGGCTACTTGCTAATTATGCCGACGTTACTGCAATTGTACTCCACTCACCAGACGAATAAATTGGTGACAACCACCGTGGAGTACGCTGTTAAACAGTTCTATCTCATGAACCGAAAGCCATTCATTCTTCAAATGTTTGGAAGTGTTTCCACCATATTGGATACGGATGAGACTAGCATTCATGGAGAAGCGCACAAGGTATGTTATATACAATCGTAGAACGCGATGATTATATTGGTCTAGCTTTTAAAAATTGTTTAAAGGTTCCTTCGGCGTGCCTATTTAATTTATTGCTGAGCTTGGAAACTCCGTCGCCGGATCCTTTGAACATAGACGAGCTGGTTAAAGAAGAGAAACCTCTCAAAGCTATTGATTTTTGTTACCACGACGAGAATGAAATGGTCACTGTATTAGATTGCATATCTCTTTGCGTGATGGTAATAGCTTACGCGCCTGATTCCGTGAGAGGTCAACAAATGTTGGTAAGGCAATTTCAATTAAACACGCTTGAAACATTTGTTCTGTAAACGCCCGCGATTAATTTTCTGTAATGTAACAGAGGATACTGGAAGCAATACTGCCATGCTACGTTCAACAGATACAGTCCCCGACTTATAACAAAGAAGGCAAAACAGAGAAAGAAATCATACATCAATTGGCTATAGCTGTGAAGACCTTAGTAAATAATTCTGAAGCACTTACCAAGTAAGCTTTGATTTTCAACGAGAAATTTCAACTGTATGGTGTACACGTACGCGTCAAATTTTTCTAGATATTACAACGGACCACAAAAGTCGAGCCCCGAGCACAAGGGCTCTAGTCAAAGGAATTACGGCAAGGGCCCGTATTCGCCTGGTTTTGACTTCGAAGATGATACTCATACCACCAAATATATGGAACATTCTAAGGTTCGAACCTTTTATGACCGGGACAACGACGACGCGGAAAATTGTCATAAAAATGAGTTTCGTCGACCACGCGACACGTTGTTGAACATGGTCGGAGACTTTGTGGCTCGCTGCACGACCCGCTTGGTCGAATTGAATAAAAAATCTCAAGATGGAAAGACGATCGAATTGTTAGACTCCAAATGTCATATAGTGAGTATTTCACATATTTGTTTTGTAAATTTTTTTTTTTTTTTTGTACGTTCTTCCCTCGATGGAGTAGAAATTAAGTTTTTTAGTCTTTCAACTGTCTGGCAATTTGTTGATTCCATTCCTGTAGATATCTCGCGTTTATTATTAAAAATACGAAATTTGCTCGTTAATAGCGATTGGCGGACATTGCACACAGCCTGTTGAAAATATCTCCGTACGATCCGAGCACGATGGGTTGCCGCGGCTTAAGAAGATACATGAACGATATTTTGCCCTCGACCGATTGGTCCAGCGACGACATGAGGCCTGCGTTGACGAATATTTTAAGAAGACTGGACAAAACGTTTAGCAAGATACACAAAAAGGCTTCTATCAGGAGAAATACCGACTGGACTGCTGCGAGCGATCTTTTGAAAGGGGTTTACGAAACGTTGGCAAAATGTCCTTACATCGCTCATTTTCAATACTTAAAGGCATTACTCACTACTTGCCAGGTAACGTAATTATTTTATATATATCTACGAGCGTTTAAAGGAGCATCAAATTCTAAATCGAATATTTATCGCCGCTCGAGATTAATAGCATTCGACAACATCGTTGTTAAAGTGTAGTTAGATAATCAAGTGCCTCACGAACTTAGGTATTGAAGAGTTAATAACAATAGTGGAGGAATAATTAGGCATTTAACATTTTATTAATTGGGAGCTTTAATTTATCTATAGTCATTAATCATTGGAGATACCCCACCGGAGGATATGACATCAGCTTCCTCCGCGGCTTTAATGAGCAAAATACCTCCGCAACATTTTTGCTCGACGGTACTTCGACTGATAGCACTTTACGTTATATCTCTCGGAGAAGGATATTTACACGCTATGTTTATAACTCAAACTCGAATCGAGAATATACTACTCAATTTATTAATACCATTGTTTCTACGCGTGGGAACAGGAAGAAAAGGTAATATTTCAGTAGATCTCTTAAAAAATATTAATTTCAATTTAATCGATCCATTAATTTATCATTCATTTAATGGATCAATTTAAAGATATTATTATATATGTTTCAGATGTACCGAAACTGAGACAGTCTGATATAAATTTCTCGTTAACCGCGGTACTAAACACTTTATGGCCGCCTTCCACGAAAACTATGCCATTAAGCGCACAAAATTTAAAAACAACGACAGACATGAGAGCGGGTAGTTTAACATTTGCAGCGAGAGACTCAAAGACTTCAACTAAAATGTCGTTGACGTTGTATCAAGTTGCCTTTTTAGGTAAACAATCGAAAGATTTTTATATGGTATATCTCATGTTACACGTATAAAATAGCCCTTGTCTATTTATTTTCCCATATCCATTTCTCGTAGCTCTAAAAATAATGACGATATGCTTCGAAACGGAACTGAAGACCGAGTGGCCAAAAATTTTACGCACAATGCGTTTGCTGAACAAACGAAACGAGGCTTCCACTTACCTTTGGAACTTTATAGAATTCGTAGTGACGCATCGGACCGCATTGTACATTCAAATGCTGCCGTTCATCGTTCACAAGATCGGTCAAGCACCGATCTCGGAGCACGAGAGGAACATGCAGAGCACAATACGATCGAAGATCACCGGCGATACTAAAACGGTACCAAAATCGCGCGGCACTCTACTGACTGATCTTATTCACGAATTGAAGAACCTGAAGGAAGAAATAGAAGATCGGAAATTTGGTTGGTAGATGAAATTTTATGACGCGATCGATTCGATTCGTTGTTAGAAATAAAAGAATAAAAAAATAATAATAATGTACAGACGAAGCGCAAACAGAGCCAAAGAGGAGTGTCGCGGACATGCATTCTGTAAACGAAGGGCAGTCACGCACACAGAGATTGTCGTTAATCGATCTTTTAACCGGAGACCTCGGATCCAGAAGTCACATGAATCATCAGTCGAATTCCAGCAGTACTATTAAAACAACACAGCCGAGTCAAGTATCAGCGCCGCCAAATGGTATACAAACTACACGCGGTACGATTTTACCATTTATTATATTTCATAGAAAGCTCGTCCTTTACAGCGTTAGAGCTTTACAGCGTTTTGAAAAGTTTGCCAGTCAGTGATAAAATTAACATCGGTATTTTCATTTCACTGTTACTGCAGGATCGAGCACAAGCGGAGGTTCGTCCACCCTTCGCGAAGTTTGCGACGGTGTCGCCGAACAACAAGAGGAACAACAGCCGCCAACAGGTATTTCATTTCCTCCGAGATTCTCAATATATATCAGTCCCAAATTTTCAATATTAACGGTGCGACTGCAAGCCTCTCATAAATGTTTTCGCTGTTTTCTCGAGCGATTAAGAGACGTCTACCACAGTTGGATCGAGCCATTGTCTATAGGGCACTGCGATCAAATTTGCAAAGCTCTTGTGACACTTCGTTCTTTTTCGCTTCGTAAATGACGACGCATCGTTTCATTTCATTCCCTGACGAGCGAGGCTTGCGACGAAGCGTCGGAATACTTTTATTTCGAGGTCCTCATTACCAGTATAGCCACTTTGAATTGATTTCCATCAGCTTACGCTTTTGATTTCTCGTTTTATTTTCCATCGTTCGGGCCTCCCTGTTTGGTCTTATATTGATCATTATGTTGCTTCCATTGCTAGCTAGGGGACGGAGGTAAGCGGATTCTAATAGTAAATTCTACTAAAATCTATGATAAACGTCCTGCTGGTGTGTTCCCCCTATCACGCTTCTCCATATCTCGTTATCTCATCTAATTTTGCTCACCTTCTCTCCTCCTCTATGTTCCTTTTGGTCACATCTGTTGCTAACTATCTTCGTATTATTCCCGTGAACAGAGATTCGACCAAACCTTTGTGTACGTATGCACGTTAAAAAAGAATTGCAGTTTATTCTTCGATGCACATTTCTGCTAGCAGACAAAACGTTAATAAATTTATCATCCTTCCTTTGGAAACAAAGCTTGAACTTGTTTACCGTGTAAATTCATCCTTATAACATGTCGTATATTATATCGTAATATATCCCAGATAAGAGATCACAGAATATGTCTACTCGCGATCACTTAACTGGGATACGTATATATTTTGTTTAGTGTGTTTCCCATACATCTCGTATATTTCGTTTTTTATGTATCTTGTGTGACGATATATATTTTGTAAAGATCGAGTGACGAAAAAGTAAAGGTGATGTTCGAACCTCACGCACGTAAGATTCGATCATTACTTGCTGTTGTTCACATCGAATTAGCAAAAAATTTGATTTCATGAACCCGGAAGAGAGTGTTCATTACGAAAAATATAAAAAATCTTGTTTTTACCATATATTTCATTAAATTATTCTATTATTATTGCTGTTTTCCCTTTTACGTTTATGTACACAATCGTAATAAATGTATGTATATATTTATATATGCATATGTGTGTGTATATATATATATATATATATATATTGTATATATATATATACATATATATGTATATGTACATACATACATGTATTCGTATACATATAGCAGTATTTAGACAATGGTAATGTCCAACAGTTGGTATCCTGTTCATCGTTGCATAGTTTGTACTTCACTAACGTAGTTGCTTCGACTTTCTCGTTCGCTTTCTTTCTTTTATCTGATCACACGATCTATCTATAATCGAAAGTCAATTTTCTTCACTACAGATTAACACAACATTCTCTGTTTATCTGACAAAAGAATGCATACAACTTATGTGTGCGTGGGCGTGTATGTGTGCTTAAATCCTCTACGTACTAACTTTCATATTTCTCCATCAATACTATATCTTTTCGTTCTTTTTTTTTTTTTTCTTTTCTTTTCTCAATGAGAGTGTGGCCTAAAACATTTAAACACAATTTCTCGCAGGTCTTCCATAATCGAAGCAACCTCGTCAAATGTCAATTTCATTTTAGATTTCTCACCGATTAATTCTATTATACAAATATTCCGTTCCCCATACTATCGTAAACGTTTTCGAAACTCATGCTTCTCTACTAAATTGAAATAAATGGTACCGTGAAAGTAGCGTATGCTAACGTCATACGTTGTATAATAAATAACGTTGAATTTTAATTCCTCTAACTTTAGCAGAATTTAGATTCCTAAACGATATTTCAACATAATAACTCTGTCACCTGGTATGACTCATTTGTCGTCTTTCGCTTCATTCTAGACATTAAATGTGGCATGTTTCAGATAAATCCCAACCATCTTCTACTAACGATGAACGTAACCATGTAAAGCCTCATCCTATATTAACTCATCAAAAGGCGCCAAAACTGCGCTTTCTCTCTTCTGTAGAGTTTAGGCACTCATCAGGTAAATTTCGAGCCCATACTCTAAATAAATAAGTTATAGTTATGATATTATTGAATTTACGATTGTATATATTATAGAAATTAATATTTTTATAACTAGAATCTAAATGCAACGTTTCTAATACGTATTGTAATCTTTAAATTAATAGATAATTAATGTTTATAAGAAAGAATGCTGCTAAAGCAAATTCAATGAAAAATTTAGTCTCTGAGATTTTTGATAAAATTTTTATAGATCAATTTATACGTACATAAATGTATATATTTGTATATATTTGTAATGTATATATTTGTAATAAGTATAGGAAAATAACAGTTTTCAATTGTCGAATTTTAGTTAGCTTTTATCAAAAATTTTTATCTTTTTATTAAATATGCTTACTGATCTAACTGAAACGTAGAATATAGTAAAATGAAAAAGTTACAATTAGAAAAAACCACGAAAATCTATTTCATTCACCTCATTTGTCTAAATACAAAAAGAAAACCTTTTAATAATATAAATCGTTAGCATGTTTAACTATCTCCTGCTATTCTATATCTTATCGTATATCATATTTCATATCATTTTCATTTACACGATATTTTTCATATTTTATCAGCTAACAATATCAGAACATGTACCTTTATGTTAATCATCTCTTATTTATCATTTCTGATATATCGACAGATATTAATAAGATAAAGCTATTAAAAAGATCATTGTAAAAAGAACACTATATATATATATTATTCTATATATATTTTATATATATATATATATATATTCTACACTCTCTATACTATATTTTCTTTCTCGTTTGATTGCTTTATTCGTGAATACATACAGTTGCCAGATGCTCGCTCTTCTACAGTCCTTCCAAGCTTACTTCAAATTAGTGAAATACAGTAGTGAAATACACTACATAACTAAGCCTTCCATTGTAAAGATAATAAAAAAGAAAAAAAAATGATATTATTCCTTGTATTGAATATAGTTATGAGCATGACTTTCAATAAATTTATTGAATATCCTTTTGAAAACGGCTTTTAAACAAGAGATATAATATTATGTAATACGATGTGAAACTTTATCCCTATTTATAACATATTATATCTAGAAAATGATAAATTCTCAATGCTTTAAAAAAAAAAAAAAAATACAAATTTAGTTTGTACGTGCAATTAACATCTAATGTTATTTATATCCTAATCTATAAATTAGGTACAAAATTATTAATTTAATGAATATTTATTCACAGTAGAGATAGTGCGATGTTGAGATAATCACACTTCACAAAATGTAATTATTATTCGAGAAACACGTCGAGTTATAATTTGTAGTTACGGAAGAGCAGCATGGATAGATTGTAGAATAGAGAGTAGAATTTTATATATAAAAAAAAACATTAATTGCATTTTATTTTACTAGGGGAAACCGTGACGAGCCAACTCAGTCCAACCAGTCCAAACGAGGACAGTTCAGGCGAATCCCGCCCAGACAAACCTCGATTACAACGCTCTATGGGTCAAAGCAAGAAGACTTTTCGATTGCGAAAGAGTCGAAGAAGTCACGTAGAAGTAATAATATATATACACCTATAGAAATATGAAATTTTTCTACCAGCGCTTGGCGATATTGCATTTCATATTTATTAATAAATATAATTGAAATAGTTTAAGTAATTAATTAATATAGTAATGAATTAATTCACACAGTAATCCACTAATCAATTTATATAGTATGTATCATTTTTAGGTATAGCTAATGATACAGCTGAGTTGATTTAAATATTTTAGACACACGTATATCGCAATATTTAAACGATGACTTGAAATTTAATTTAATTTTCAGGCAGTGCAAGTGAAATCAGAACAAAGTAATAACGTAACACAACCAACGACCCAACCATCAATTTTAACACCACCAACCCCAGTGATGGAACCATCGAGTTTTAGCATCCCCTCCGATTCGTCATCGATTCGCTCGAGAAGAAGTTCATCTATCCGACAGTCGGATTGCGAAAAGGGCAGTAATTTACTGAGCGATCAGCAGCAAATGCATGCTGGTCTTCACCACCATCCCCACCATCACCATCATTATCATCATCATCTTCATCCTCAGACGTCAGACGCCTCATGGGACGAAGATACATCCAGTACGTCCGGTTATCGTGAGTCGTACAGTATGCAATTGGTGTCACTAGAAAGCAGCAACAATAATACTCGTCCAATTCAAGCACCACCTTTAGCATCACCAGACTTGAACGACATGCCCTCAACTAGTAGCACTACGACTCACGTTTTCGAGGGAAGCTCGCCGGATTGCTCTATCAACGGAAGCGGAGGAGAGAAAACTGCATTGCTAACAGCTAGTCAAAGAACAACATCTCAACATTCCCTGCTGATGGTTTTCCCGAATCAAGATGAAGACACGTTGATATAGACAATTGACGGATATAGATGCAATGTATACCATGACGAGACTGATTAAAGCATTAACAACCTCTAATTGCTAACGAGAAGTCTCACAGTACATATCTATGTGCTAGTATTATTTGCCATTTGAATCATTTTTCTTACTTTTAATTTACGATACGTCTTTCTTCCAGTATGTTTAGCTGTGTTAATAGAGAGATACTACTATTTTCCTTATACGATTAAACGTGAATCACACGCACCGTCAATTACGGTAAAAATTACGTTAGCAGTTAAAGGTACAGTCGAACACGACAATGTAGAAAATTTTCGTAACGTAGAGCGACTGAGAAAATTTTAAAAATGATCTAACGCAGTGTTCAGAGTTTTCAATAATTCTCCGTTGACCGGAAAGACCAATTAAAGATACATATGTTCAGAGCCTAGCCTCGTGGTCACGGAATATGTACTTTGTAATACTTCGATGAGCGTAGCGAAATTACGACCACGTGGACGATTAGGCCTAAATATTTGTATGTCACGACTCTGTAAGAAACGAGTACATTTGAAATAAAAACACTTTAAGAGAAACACGATGAACTTTTTCTCCGTCCTTACTACAATTCTGAATTTTATTCCTTATGATTTTAATTTCCAGATTATAATATATAATTTGCCGCGTCTTTGAGTCACTAATATTATCAGCTAATAAACTACCATATAATGGAAATCAGAATAAAGAGAGAATTAATGAACAAATTATAGGTCCTGTATTTATTATTTAATATATATTTAAAATATTCCTTTCGTGTTCTACATTTTCTAAGGAATCAAATATATAAATTCGAACATTAATATAGATAATTTTTGAGTTCTTTCCTTAAATTCTTGTTTTGTAATTGTTATCAATGTTAATAATACCGTCATTTTTGATGTGGAAGATCGACGCTGAGTTCGGCAAGTACATAGGATAGTGCTGCAAATAGAGCTGTTCCCTTGTCGAGAGCTTCTGGATTTTCAACCAACATGGTATCCGCATTCGTATGATGGTAATTAAAGTATGTTTCATCTTGACTTCGAAAAGAACCTCCTGGTACACCTGCGTTTACCCAAGAAGCGATATCAGGACCTTCGCTGGGACTGCGAACCTTCAGATTTCCCACAATTGAGAACAATCTAAAAATGAAAATTAATAGTAAAACAAAAAATAAAATAAATTGAACAATTATGTTTTGTGGTGTTTTTTTCTTTTAGTTATATTTTACAAACTAACTTCATGATCCTTTCTAAAATGCATTTAACTTTTTCTGTCCCGGTAACTTGGAAACCTAATGGCATGAACGTGCCCGAATCCGATTCTAGCACAAACTGTAAATTTTTGTCTTCACTTCTGTGATTCTTGATATAATAATTAGCTCCTACAATTCCAACTTCTTCACCCGTCCACATGATCATTCTATAATTGTAATTAATCAGATTCTATAATTGTAATAAATCAGATTACCTGAATTTAAATGATATTTTTGCACTAGACATTTCTTGATTTCTTTTTGTAATTGATCATCTATTTCTCAAAATATTCACCTTACTGTTCGTCGTGGTCTGTAATTAAGATGTTTCAATAATTTCAAAGCTTGCCACGAAATAAATGCACCACCGCCATCGTCCATTGCGCCCTGACCAACGTCCCAACTATCGATGTGACCAGATATGACTACAACTTTCTCTGGTGTCTCAGAGCCTTTCAATTCAGCTATTACATTTCGTGATACTTTGTTCGGCAAATTTTTCGCTTGCATTTTTAAATTTATTTCCAAAACTGTACCTAAAAACGAAATGTATCACACATATTTTGCATGAAAACGAATCATATATATTTTCGGTGATACAAGCTACCGGAATTTTATTTCGGTCTACCTCTATCAGACATCCTTCTGAATAAGCTGGCGTCTTCAGCGGTGATACAAGCTACCGGAATTTTAGTCACGTTCTCATCATATCTTTGCATTCCTGTATGTGGAGTATATAAGGAATATGGAGTAACTGATCTAATTAAAGCGGCAACAGCACCATATTTTGATGCTTCCGTTGCTCCTTTGCTTCTATACTTTACTGTTTCACCATACGAAATATATTTTTCATTAAATACGACTATTTTTCCTGGTACCTAAAATGATCAAAAAATGATAAAATTTTTTTAAACAAAATAAAAGATATTAGAAATATCATAATATATTTACTTCGTGTTTTCTGTCTTCAAGCTCTTGGAAACTATCCACGACGATAACCTTTGCGGTTATTCCTTGAGGTGGAGTCCCGACACTGGTACCTAATCCCAAAAGAGCAATATTTTTATGCCTTGGTTTTAAAAGCGTTGCTGATTCTTTTCCTCTGGAATATATAATAAATATTTCGATAATTTGAATTTTAATATTTATTGGAAATAAGAAAAATTTATCATCAAATTTTACCTAATCCAATGTGGCACACTAACGGATTCTCCATGGACATTTTCCAATCCAAACTCCATAGATTTATTTAACACGTAGTCGATTGAACGCTCGAGTACTGTAGTACCAGTAAATCTCGGACCAAACGTATCAACGAAATAAGCTAATTCATTCCAGGTGACTCCTTTGAAAGATCCATATAAAGTCTCGTTTATTATAGCATGAACAAAGGGTTCGTACGAGTCTATTTCTTTTATAAGACTTTGCGGCAAGTTACATGTATTAACATTGTTTGTTTCATCACTCTCCAGTGCTATCGTGGATTGTACTTGAAAGAGCCACGCAATGATTAAGAATTTTTTAAGGAACATGTTGTTGAACAATGCAAATTTTTGATTTCCGCTGAAAACAATTTTCTTTTATAATTGACGATACTTTCATTGTTTAGTTTGTTTTTTGTATATTTTATCTTTAATATTTTTAAATTCCAAAATTAACTCTTAATAATAAATGAATTAGAAAAGTAATTAAAATATTATCTAATATATGTAGTTTATTACTAATATCACTAAAATTATCGTATAAGTAGCCGGGTGATTATATATAAAAATAAATCGAAAAAAAATAACAGTCTTTCTTTTAAAACTCTATTTTTAAGAAAAACAAATTTAAAAATTCTGGGAACACCCTATATATATATTCGATTAATATTGATTAAAATCATTTGTAGTTTTGCTTTATTAGATAAAAGTATCTTTTATGTACATCGATTACGATCAACTCAATCAACGACTCAATCACGAGTCATATATAAGATAATATAAAAAAAAAGACTAATGTAAATAAGAATACGTCTATAGTGATAAAGACAGTGATAAAAATAAAGATAAAGTTTAAAAATTACAGCTATAAAATTTTCTTAAAATTATAATACGTGAATAATGTCCTTTCGACTGTACCTTACTTTTCTATTATCTTCAAAGTAAATAAAATGAAATGAAATGAAATTAGATGAACATAAGCACACACTTCGAATCACCTACTGACTAATGTCTCATCAGCTTCACTTAATATATATATATGGATATAGTGCTATGGAGGGGAATCGGAAAGTGGAGGAGAAGGATGCGGTAGTTATCTTTAGGAGATTTTATTATACTTGTTGACGAAGTAGGGAGACACAGTGAGAATAATAGTCTTTAAATCTAAATATAACGAGGACATTATCCACTTTTCATAATATCTAAGATTATTCAGTAAAATCAGTTAAAAACGCTACCATATTGCTACTTGAAATTGTAAAGATTATTAAATGATAAGTTAATTATCTTAAACAAAGGCTCATTGAAATTTTTTGATAACAAATTTTTTAATAACCAAATTTGGAGAACTAATTAAATTTTATAATCTCTTTCTTAATAGATAACTTAGTTTAATAAACTATATTATTAATAATAAAAATTTTTTCCGAAGTTCAAATAGTAGCAAAGGAAAAGATTAGGATTTTAGATTTGTGCAACTACAGAAAATTACAAACTAATTTTATTAATTAATTTTCTTTTTGTAAATTGAAATCTGATCAATTTATGGATACGTGTCGACATCTACATTTTTCCGTGGAAAAGAGAAACACATATACAAGATGTCTCGAATCACAGAGGAGGTATATGAATAGACATTGTCTTACTTACAGAAGAAATATATGAATAGACATTGCCATAGACGTAGTATATGAATAGAATTCACATAAAATGCAATATATTTTCGGTCCACGATTAGGGGAATCTCTGGACCCCTTTACTATTTTCGTGTCACATCCTGTCGTACCGATTCAGGCAAGTTTTGCACTGCAGCACTACTAGTGATGAAAATTAGAATTAAGAAATATGGACAGTATTGCTGCATTTGCTTCGAGAATTATTTATTGAATTGAACGTGGTGATACTTCATCAATGAAGGAACAGTGATTGATGGATATTGAGGTGAAAAATTCATTATATATTTGATTATTTACATCTATTTAAAGGTACTAGGAAAAATTGATTGAAATTTTTTTTTAACAACTAATTAAATATGAATTAGATATAATATGTTTTACTTATTTTAGTGTGTAACTTCAGAGTTTGAGTGAATCCTGAATAGTCATTTCGCGCGAAACGCGTAATTACAGCGCTCCAACGGTGAAAAAGGCAATATAATCCTACGATTCTCAAACCTCGAATCGATATTTCTCATGATCGATTTTTAACCGGCAAACATGGCGGAAAGGAGCACGCCTCATCTGTAAAAAAGGAAGCGTTATTCAGAAAAATCACCAGAAAGAATTATCATTAAAAAGTTCTCAGGTAAAAATATAAATTAATAGTTGTTAGATTTCTGTATGTATTGTGTGTGTATTATTTTAAAATAAAACGTGTATTTTTGGCTGCAATTCAAGGTAAGATTTAACCAAATTATTACATATAATTTTCAACAATTAAAGAAATAATCGTATATAGACATTTAAACAGAACATACTGTGCTAAAAGTTATTTATAATTTTATATCAAAATTTAATTTCAATTTTAATCAGTAAAAATATTGTAATCTTGTAATTTACTAACTCATTATATATATATATATATATATACATGTATTTTATTATATGTTTCTACACATATACTTCTATTACAACATTTTCTACTTATTTATTGATTCTTTAACTTCATATTGCGGACTTTTTAATAATTCTAATACTAAATTCAACAATAATTTATTAAGTATGTAAGTATTTAATAGTTAAAATAACAATTTTACTGCAAATATACTAAAATTTTCCATTTTTTAAATAAGTAAAGCGTAGAAGGCCTAAATGCTAATTTTTAATATAAAATTGTATCACAAATTCTCGATAATTATTTTGCTTGAAACTACAGAGTACATTGATTGAGTTTTGAATGACGCGCGTAAAATATTTCAATGGCGCGCCGCTTTAAGCCAATGGGCATGCACGTCGCGTTAGCCAATAGAAAAGCGACTAGAAGAGAATTTGGCGGGAGATGCCAGTTTCGGGTGTCATGGCGTCGAGACGTGTCGATCTGTTTGACAGTTGTGAATTTTGTTAGTGCGTAAGTTTCCATGATCATTCTACCACCTTCTACAGTGTACTGTCAGGTTCGTTTAACTAATATATTGTTGTTTAATACATTTTTGGATGCTGTCATAACGATATTCTATAATTTTATGAACTTTGTTTGTTCGGTTCTCTTTGTTCAACTACGTAATTGTGGGATTTATCATGTAATATATCATATGTTAAAAGATAATAAAATATATCATATGTTTCTGAGATAGAATTTGTGCTTATTTATTTCAATATTATTAGGTCTAATCTCAAGTTTTTAGTTTTCATTCATACAGATAGTCGACTGATTGCCGAAATCACTTCGAAAGAACATCTCGATGACTAGAGTGCAAATTTGTATATTAACAACATTTGTAATTTATGAATTTTGTATGTTTGATATAGACCAGCATGTTTTATTTTTTATTCCAAATTATCATTTCGCGCGAAACGCGCGATTACAGCGCCTCATCGGTGAAACACGCAATATACTTTCTACGATTATTGAAATAATCGATATTTCTCACGATCGATTTTTAGCGGGAAACATGGCGGAAGCCCCATCTGTAGAGAAGAACGCCTCATCTGTAAAGAAGAAATTATTATCCAGAAGAATCATTCAGAGAGAAGTATCATCCAAATGTTCTGAGGTAAAAATATAAATCAATAGCTGTTAGATTAGTGTTTGTGTTGTGAATTTTTAAGATAAAATTGCATATTTAGCTTCAACTGAAGGTAAGATTTAACCAAATTATTATTACATATAATTTTCAACAATTAAAGAAGTAATTGCATATAAACATTTAAACAGAACACACTATGCAAAAAAGTTATTTACAATTTTATACCAAAATTTAATTTAATACTAACCAGTGCAAATATATGTAACCTTGTAATTGACAATTGTCATTGTTTTATATCTAAATATATACATATTTTATTATATGTTTTTACACACATACTTTTATTATTTTTTGATACTTTAACTTCATATTGCGTAATTTTTAACAATTCTAATAATTATATTAGCAATAATTTATTAAGAATGTACATATTTAATAGTTGAAATAACAATTTTACTGCCTTGAAGGCCTTGAGAATCGAAATTGAGGCTGTGTATGTAAGGTTCTTATTATTGCACCTATTTTTTCTGCGTTGCAAATACTTTCGACTAAACGTGTCGAGAATGTTTATATTCGTCTTATCGTGCCTGTTCGTTCAAGTTCACCCCATCTCCTTCCACTTTCTCAATTGCGAGACGAGACGTGTCGCTGAAAGTCATTCGGCTCTCGAATTTTGTGACAACAACACGTATTACGTCGCGTTAGGTTCGTAATATTTTCTAATCATCGGTAGCGTTTCTTCGATAGCGTCGCTTCTTCGACACTCTTTTACTTCCATTTTTACCTCATTAATAGTATATTTAATTAATACACGTGTGTTTAACGATTAATCGAGCATCACGGTAATGAAATCATGTAATATTTTGAAACTTTTCGCGTCGATTCTTCTTCAATCGTCGATTTCACTCGTACAGTTGCCGGTAGCTTATCTTGTACATTTCTTTAGTAGAATTTGAGGTGATTATCATTTCATTTTTACACGTTTGCCTTCATTTAACATATTTGTTCTAACTTTTGATTTCTTTTTGTGCAGGTTATTCCTTGATTCCAGAGACAGGATAGAACACATAGACGCGACGATTATTAATGGACAATCTGATATTCTTTGACAAAAATTTGGTAACATTTCATTTATTTTAGGTATACATAAACAATTGATGCGTAATTAAACGATTCAAAGCAAGATTTCACATGCGTTTTTGTAATATTATTTCTTAAGACTACATTTGGCTGTGAAATTTTGACTTGTGAAACATTTTTGAATATTTATAACACTTGACGTGGTATATTATTAATTTGCATATTTCCTATTCTAATAATGAACATTCAGAATACAATACTTGTCTTTCATTTACAGTATTCAGTATTGAGATATACTTTATAATTTACATCTAATATTTTTAATATATATTTAAATTTCTTTACAATCGTGTTTTAGAAAAATAGTAGTATTTTCTACATAAAACGTTTTTCTCTCTCATCTTTACTAATCAGCTTTATTTTCGAATATTTATTTTCAGATAGTTTTTGTGACCGCGAGCAAAGCGGTCGGTAGAATCAGTTTGTTGCGAAGTATTTTCATATTTTTCTGAGCAAACTGGCTCTTGTTAAATTAAATAATTCATTTGTAATTGTAATTCGCGAAATTAGAGTCAGTGAGTTCGTCGATTGTTACTTAAACACGCGCGTTGATAGTCAGTGCTCAAGAGGATAAGGCCTCTCCAGGAGATCAAGATCGTAAGTATATATTGTATCTCAAGTTATTCAATTTTTCAAATTTAACAACAAAGTATAATGTTTGATATTTTGTTACAGATCTTCTACAGTCTCCACTTCCCCATCTTCCAAGAATCATATGACGCTTCAAAAACTAAAAATGTAAGTACTTTAGTACGTTGTATTTAAATTTTATTCTCTATAGTTTTCTTTCTACTAAAATCGAATGTAAAATTATAGTTATAAAATAAAAGCATTCAAAATTATTAGTCCCAATTTTTATCATTATTAAAATTTAAATTTTCACAAATAACACTGTATTTTTAGAAACAAAATATTTTATGTTTTTTAGAAATTTTTCACGGCGTTCTCCATAGAATTCTCAGTGGTATTTATTTGATGAGAGTCTTCACGATAACTTTCCTTGCTCCAGTGCAGCAT